ATCAGTGATATCTTAAAAAATGGATCTTATTTATGAAATTATGTATTGAGAATTGATGTAACTGTATATTCTGTTGAAGAAATGTCTGAATTTTTTTTAACAAAAGATATGTAACACTTTATTACTAATTTTCTTAGCAAAATCTTATTGCCGGAATCAGTAGAATAAAACATAAAACGGAGGAGCAAAACATTTTTTAATAATGATTAATGATATTTTTATTGATTCAGTCAAAGAACAGAATACACGCTCCTCTAGTATTCGCAGTATTTAGTATTTAATGTATGTCTCTGACAATGAATTTGGTTGGAATGTAACAACGATCACGATTCACTCTCTCGGATATTCCGAGGGTTAATAGAGTGCTATCCCAGACGAAGAAATCGAGAACGATTCCCAGAAATGCACTTTCATGATATTAACAACTACTGGTGCAATTCTCGACTACGATTAATAATTATTTTGCCTCTCTATACGTGATGATATTATCTTATGCCCTGTATACGCAGAGTGTTCAACAAATGATAGCGATTTTGCTTACGAATTCTTTGAGCAATTTAAAATCGATCATTCTTTTATAAAAATAGTTAAGGATAGTTTCTAAATAGTTAAGGATAGTTTCTAAATTACAAGTAAAAACAGAAATGTCATCAATGAATTATTTTTAGTTTATTAATTCAAAAAATAAAGATTAGATAATAAAATGACCTTTTCTTCAATAGATTCTTTTAATTCGCATCGTATATTCGCCAAAGTATTAGTCTATATTGATGATTAATTTAGATTTCGATTTGAGTTGATTTTTTCTTAATCTTTACAAAATTCTTGGATTAAGTAGGATTATTTTTACAAATTTTTTTCCATGTGTAAAAGGTAAAATTTTTCAAACAGTTTTACTGTACACTTAAATAAAATCAAGAACTTGGAAGAAAATAATGTTACTTGCATTATGAAACAAATTAAAATGTAAACAGAATAGCATTTAATAGAATAAAATTTTTTTCTGTCAAAAAACATTGATTTTAATCGAAATGGGTATTGTTTCTGAGCACCCCGTATATAGACGAGCAATGTTGAATACCTCACGTGCCTTCTTGAGCGGCGGCGCCGCACATTTTCATTCCGAGACTGAGAAAGTTTCCGATTCCAAGCATTCGTGAATCGAGAGGCGTCTGATTTTTGCTGTCAGTGAGCTGTCTTTCTGTTTTAATTTGCCGAGAATAATAGCAGGAGAGCATTCTATGCAAGGTTGCCCGTATTACCCACTATTGCTTTTATATATATAATTGCTACGAGAATAAGAAACAAGAAAACATTTTTCTGCTAGTCCAACAATCGCGCGTTAAATGCGTATTCTCTCCATGAAATGGGGACAATTATATAAACAAAAAAAAAATAAAGAAATTGCGAAGAAAGAGAGAGAGAGAGAGAGGTGCAATATGTCTTTCTGTTTTTGACGCAATTACGACGTTGCATTGCGCGAACGCGGATAAATCGCGATAAAAGCGCGCGATTTCTTCATTCCCCTCGGCGTTACGTGTCGTTGGTTTAAATATAATTCCTTATCGAAGCCGGTGAAAGGTACATACATACACGAGAAGGTATCGGAGTTAAGAGCGCTACGCACTCGATGCATCGATCTCTCGGTTAAGAATTTTCCGCGCAAATAGAACATTAATAATTTCAAACAAACTGATGAATTTATTTCGACGAAATTGGGCGACGTTTGTGTCAATTTATTCTCCAAACAGATTTCACACATGATGTATCTTCCGATCCATCTTACAATATGCGAAAAACATTTTTTTCTGCAAACAACAAACACTCTATTATTATTATTAAAGTCTATTTTTATAAAATTAAAATAGGTTTGCGTGTAAAACGCGGGCTTTAATCGAGTCGCGGGTTTCATTTCGCAGTTTTGCGACACGCGATTTACGCATATAAAAACCGACCAGCTCGAGCGGCAAATTTCTTTGGCCTTGAGTAATATTGAAGGAGAGGAGGCGTGTTTCTCTTACGACGTTACGCGTGTCCTCGACAGCGTAAGAGCGTCGGATATTCGCGTTGCAGGAATTCGTGACGGGGAATTCGCGTGGCGCGTATACGGTTAGGTTCATCGGAAAATCCCGCATGTGTGTACGCGTTGTACGCACATACCGGCGCCGCTAAATATAACAGTACGTTTGTGTAACGTAATTAATGCCGCGTCGGACCCAACGGGCAGAAACACACGTCGTTTGCGAATTGTTGCATTAACCCTTGGCTGTCAATTAGCGAATACCGCACACATGCCCGACATTTTCCCGTACGTTTAATCATACTAATAATTAAATTGCAATAAGCGAGATATACGCAGTTATTTGTGTGGTAATTTTATGCAAGAGATCGCAGATTTATATCGCACTTTATTCAATCAGACTTTGAAAAAAAATGTTACGTTCTTTTACCCATAAAATTTATCTAGGTAACAGTTTCTCGTATCGTGTCGAATATTTTCGAGGCAAAATTTTTATGCTTTTTTTTTTAAAGTAAAATTCTCCTCTCGTACATGATAAATTTCGAAGATCTGTGTATTTGTGATAAAACCATTATGTGCAGTAGCAATGACGTTTCCAAAGTGTTTGCTGTATCCGATAATTCAAAGACATTTTAACGGAGATTACATTATCCTTTCGTGGAAACGTTCAACATTTTTTAAATACTTTTCGAAGGTGACGAATACGAGAGAGGAGAGGTGCAGCTTATCATTCTTTTACAGCCGAAATTAGCGCACAAGCGTCCACGTCATCGCTGTAATCGCCTCCTCTTCTCTGCTCCTCCTTCGCTCGGGCTAATCTGCGGCTCTCGACTATTCTCGCGCGCCGAAGATGCCGTTAGCCCCCCTGGATTTTACTCGGAATCCGCACGATTATTAGCGCGCTTTAGACACGCCGGTATGGTATTTCGATGATTCATAATTCGCGGTCGAACCAGTCTGTGTCCCCCCCTTCGTCGGGGCACCCGGGCATCCTAATGCCCCCTCGAGATCTCCCGTGGTTATTCACTTCCCTTCTCGGCGGTTCAAATTCCTCTTTCCAGCGCAAGGAGAGCCGGAGAGAGCCTTTTATCGGTCGTGACGCGTACGCTGTACAGCAGCAGCGGCGGCGGCGACTAGAGTACCTCGGTGAGTCATTCACACAGTGACTGGGCTCGTTGTAATTCATTGCGACGATCGACCCCCCCTCCCTCCATGTGTATGCTCTACAGTGACGTTCACACCGACCAGCGAATTATATACACCTAATCGTATCTTTTTTTGACATATATTAATCATATGTTTTTTATATATTTATAATGGTATCTTTTTTTTGACATATGACTAATACTTCGCTGCTGATTAGAAAAAGAGTATTATTCATCTTTACTGTACTCGATATAAGATGATTTCGAAAAAGCATAAATCTGGTATGTATTTTTGTTTGAAAAATCGATGAGAAAATAAATTCAATTTTGAGACGCGAGAGCAAATAAGATTTTAGATTCGTGAAAGTAAATTTGTTCTTTATTTAACCGTATCTTTGATCGAGAGAATTATGAGTTTTAAAATGCATATCTGTAAAGCTGAAATTTCAAATAAATTAATATGAAAAGAAAAAGAAGAGGAGATTATCCCCTTTCTCTGTCAATCGTCAAAGTTCGGCGCTTGATAAGAGGATTTTAAGGGATAAAAGAGAATGAAAAAGCCACACGTTAATCCCACGTTAGATATATGGTAATTTTGACGTGTTTATGATTTACAGATTTTATAGCCAAATTACATTCGAGGGGAAACACATCGTTTAATCAGTTTGAAAAGCTTTATTATTACAAGAAACTGATTATTTAATGAAAAAATAAAAAAATAAAAAATAAATTTTATTTTATTTTAATTTATGATATTTTTACATTAGACGTGATAAAATCTGCGTGTATTTATCTCATATCTAACATTTAATTATATTGCATCGTAATGTCATGTACATAAAGAATTACAATACATAAAGAATGAGTTATATTGCAAAAAATTCACTAGCGGGATATTAATTTGCGGATATCTTCGAGAGATATCGAAAAATCGAATCTCCTATCATACACGTGCATCGATGTATTAATGTAATATTTTAATATCCGAATGATTAGTCATGATTGACATAACTGCACATGTATTACGCAATTGTCATTCGATTTAACTCTAATCTCCGTATTACGCGGAATTCCTCAATGAATCTTTTCCGCCTTATGCATTTAGTCGCATAGATAACCGAGATTCATTACTATAAGCAGGCTACTATAAGTGAACAGCAGAGATGAAAGCTGCATAGATTTACAGAGAAACTTCATCGCACAATCAATATATATATATATATATATATATATATATATATATATATATATATAACGCGTGTATTCTATTTTTATATTTTATTCATATAATATTCTTATGTAATTTATATTATATTAATATTAATATTACTTATATTATTACTTACAAATAATTTATTATTTATAAGTAATATTTATAAATATTATTTACATTATATTAATATTTTACATAATTTCATGTGCATAATAATTCATTTTCATAATCTTCAAGGAATTTTTTAATGGAACAAATTGTTTCAGTTTCCCACAGTAATATAATAAAATTAATAAATATAATAAAATAGATATCTTCTACATATCGCTACGCTTTCAAGAAAAATACATTTAAAATAATTTTTCATCGTTACATTTCATATCAGCATATCATGCTTCCAATTCCCGAACCGAAATGTCGCATTATTCACTTGTCAATATTCATCCTGTAACGTTGGAATGACAGATAAGAATGCAGTCGCCTATCGCAATCCAACGCATCCACTTGTTGCAGTCGGTGTGAACGTCGACTTAATGACCGTTCTGCTCTCGACACTCTCAATCCGAGCCATCCGAGTGGCACGCTCGCTCCGTTTAGCTCCGTTCCCATCCACAGCCGTCAGTATCTACCTGTTGCTCGAGCGACGAAGGCTGCACGCCCGTATCTACCTGGCCGGGTACCAAGACCTACTACTCGGGTGGCGACGCGACGTCGCGCACGCATTCCTCTCTCCTCCCGCGCAGCGGGATATTTTTCGTCGGCACGAAGGTGGACGATAGATCCGAGCTCCGATTCGTTCCGCGAGGCGCAACGAACGAACAGCTGCTGTTATCTCCCTTATCGCGTGACACGTGTATAAAGATATTTCGAATTTTTTTTCTGTTCTTTCTGTCGCGCGCGGGTGATTAAAGTTCCTTTATTACGCGATAGTGATCTCAATTATAAAGCGTGGATCGCAGACGCTCGTCTCAGTTCTGTCCTCGACACAGTGATATCTTTACGTGATTCAAGTGGTTGCGAAATATTCAGTAGTTTACCGTTTGACGATTGATTTCTTTTTTTTTACCTTTATACTTGTATTACGAGGACGATATAAACCTGCTTTAAATGCCCCGCATTTTGCGAAAGTATAGTGGAGTCAGCGTCATTGTGCAATCTTACCATGTCACGTGGTCGTGATACTATAATTATTACGAGGAAACGGATTTTCTCGAAGAGTGACTATTTTATCCGGTTCAAGCGCGTTGCCTGATAATTAGCGGAAGTGGACGAGATAAATGGCGATCGTTTTGAATAATCGTTGCCGGTGGTCGACACGGAAAAACGAACGAATTATTCGAGGCAGATCATACGTGACATACCGAGTGGCGGAGGAATAAGAACATCAGCGACTCCGGAGGGTGAAAGACACCGTAAGTTATTGTCGCCTAAGTCATTGTCGGCATTATTGTAACGTCTGCCTCGTTTGTGTAAAGTGTTAGGTTGACTGTGTCGAATGACTATAACTGCAACCGGGACACGCACGATTAAGATACGCGGCTTTTAATTCCGAGAAACGAACAATTATTCGAACGACTTCGAGAACGAAACGTTCAATTTCGTAAAACCGATATGTATCGCTCGTGTAATTATTATCGAGTGTCGGCGTTCGAAATCTTTTGTGTATTCTAGGAGAAACGTGCCTTCTCGAGACCTCTCGTTTTCTTTTTAAAAAAAGAATACATGACATATATATTTCAATGCCATTGTTAGTTAGAATGTTTCACTCGTCGATCTTTCTTCTTCATTTTATGGCGTTTTATAAATAATCCTCTTGCTTTTAAAATATTATTCATGAACTTTCACTTTATTAGAAAAGATAGTTTAGATAGATGTGGAATGTGAAATAGTTTAGATAATTTTTGTGGGTTTTTAATAACCGCTTGACCTTGTACATTGCCCGAAGACTCATCAAAGATAACTTTCCATATATAAAATATAATTGATAAAAATTATCACACAAATATTTGTCGATTTTATAACGCTTTATATTTTCTAAATTCTTCCTAATTCGTTTAATCTTACGGTTTTTATTTTTGTAAACGGACAATTTTATCATTTTCCTCTTATCATATCCATCACGAGAAATCAAATTTCAATGTATAATTAAGTGCTAATAATAATATTTGTTGCCAATAAATAAATCCACGCTCTACAACTGCGTTGGCTCTTTACTGCCTTTTACTATTCATTTTGATTTGCCAATAAATAAAATTTATATATTTCTGATTATTTTTATTACTATTTATTTATATCTTATCATTGTCTTATCTATTTATGTCTTATTAGTATTTATTTATATCTTTTATCATTATCTTTTATTATTTTTTATTATTTTATTATTATTTATAATTATTTGCTTAAGGTTTCTTGAAATTAGGACAATAAATTAGCACAAAGAACAAATAATAAATTGAGAAAATTATAAATTGCTCACCACACATCATCATTGGATGTCTCATTGGACCTTTTCTCTTTCCGTTGTGTGTCCATTGCTGCTTCATTGTGGCATGCACACCCGCACTCACTCGCGAAAACATTATTAATTGCAATCGTGCGCGTACTAATCATCAGAAACCGACGCGGCACTTTATTTATAACACTCCCGACGCGATAATAGCAAAAATTAATTACTTGCGCTGCAAGAATAATCTTTAATTGTTCATAAGAAATAATAGATTTGGTATTTTTTAAATATTGGCAATCGTACTTTAAAAATAATTCGACACACAAAGCACATCACGGCACTCTACTTTCTCGCTCAAGTCTCGTTCTGCGAATGATAACAAGGCCATCGTATGTAAACAATAACACTGTAATATTCGGCGACATAGCATGTTATTGTTGTACGAAATCGCGACTCTTTTGTTATCATTCGGAGCAACGAGACGGAATTTGATTGTCATGGTGGGAATAATCAAATAATAATAGCGGGAGGTGATTTTATTTTCTTTTCATGAAAGCAGGGGAACAATAATAAAAAATAAATAAAATAATAAATTGCGCTCTTTGATTTCCGATAATCGAATGATTGGATATATGTCGTAATTTCATTTTCCATTAAGAAATATTAATATTAATATCAATATAAATATTGATATCAATTTTCAAAACGAATACCTTGTATGTAAAGAACATAAAAATATATATTAAAATGTATTTATTGTAAAATGAGGAAAGTAATTATGATAAAGATAAACAATTTTGTTAAAAAATACTGTCACAAACGATATTTCAATATATTTTGCTTATTAAAAAACTTGTTAAAAAATATATAAATTAATTTAATACATTTTTAATCCGAATAACTGAAAAACGCGGTAAATGCTGTTGTTTGTTAATGCACTAGGGTCAAAAGTGAATTAATTTTTCAATCGAGCAAATATTCCAATTTCCCTTGGAATCGCCGATTTAATTAAATCTCGCGATTCTTATCTAACAGTGTTTGCGCATGTTTTGTGTGATATTCGTTATCACAGATCAAATATTAGTAAAGAGGGTAACGCTGTTGGTTTTGTCTCATTTGCTATTTTACCTCAATTATCTCATTGTAAGACAGAATTGCAAGATTTATACAATCAACTAAAGATCGCATCATTACGATCGTTATGGAATGGAAACAAGAACAGTGAATATATATCACAAAATATAGAAATATTATCTTCCGAAAATAATATTTATTCTCTCAATCTTTGTCTGGTAATTTAACATCGAAATTCGAAGTTGTAAATTATATAAATTCTATCATGTTTTTTACTCACGTTTTTTAATTCACATTTTCTCCATATAATATTTTATATGTATATTAAAAATATCTATCTTTTTTAATTATCTCAAAATTCATTTTTCTTAAAAATATGTAAGATATATTAATAACTAAAATATATTAAAATACGACAAATAAATAAATTTTGTACTGTTTCCTATTTTTGCATTTTTCGATTTATCTCAGCATAAATAAATTCATCTATCTAATTAAAAACGAGACTATTTTTTTCATTGCTTTATTTTATTTCAATTTTAGAAATTAACCTCTCTTAAATTTATTTGTAAAAAAATAAATTTTAGTTTGTCATTTCCCATACGTGATATACATTTTCACGACGGCAATTTATTTCCGACGGTTGCTTCGTAACTTTATAACATATAATGTTATAACATATAATGTTGCCTTTTCATCCTGGACGTGCGCTTCGGAATGCGTCTCCTGGAGTGCTTAGCGCATTTCCGGGTGCACCTCCGGGAACAGATAAGAGCCCATAAAGGGGGACACCCTGGAATTCCGGGGTGCAGCGGCCACGACACGCGCGGTCCTTGCACTTGTCGACTATGTGAACTGCATACACACATATACGCGCATATGTGTGTGCTCGCGCGTCCAGGCTCTTTTCCTTTTCTAGTCGTGCGCGCCGCGCGATTCTCCAGCGGAACCGCGCGTGATCGGTTTCCAGAACGAGGAGTCGCACCAGGCGATGCAACTGTCCGCCTTCTTTCCCGTGCTTTCCCGAACTTTGGATATCAGCCAGTTAACGGTAGCCTCCGCCGTCTTTAGCCTCCGGCGAGACGCGAAGGCTGCACGGAAACGTTTCTTATAATCCTTCTTTAATACCCCTGGAAAAAGAATTCGGCACGCAATATTACTGCCGTCACGCTGTGTAAAATTCTAGAATTTATATAGATATTATAACGTATCTTCGCCATATGAGAAGAATGAGAGATTGGGAGGAGAAGTCGTGACAAGAAAACAAGCATAAAAAGAAATTTCGGAGTTCGATATCCCGGCGATTTTCAAGAAAGATTGCGCGTGCAACTTTTCTGCATTTATTTATTTTATCGCGAATCAAGAAAAATAGAAATGATATATTAGCTAAATCATTCTTGGCTAAGCCGATTCTCAAACGGACAGGAAATCGTTAGAGTTAATTGACCGGAGATGTCGCCGGTGCAATTGACCCTAATTCGCTGCAAAGTATCACTCGGGTATCGCCGTAACACAAGGATATTATCGACTCCGCCGTGAGTTACGTCTCCCTTCCCCCTCTCGCAAGAAATGTGTCCCCTCCTCGCTTTATTCTCTCATCCACGATGCAGATTTTATGCGACGGGTTTTGTCGTAGCGCCGAGGAGACGGCGAATGCAAAGAGCACGTCCACGCCTATGCAGCAGAATCATGATTCATAGGAACGTGTTGGCATGCGGTCGCATGCTCGAGGGCGCTTGAAAATTTTCTCAGCGACCGTTGCTTTTCATCATTGAAGGCCCATTTCTTTTCCACTTCTGTTTAACCGGTGTTACACGTGCCGTTACACATATACATGACGTACTCGAAACGTATAGTGAAGATCGCGAGAAACATGTATATTTTTAAAGAGCCAAACTTTGAAAGACAGATCAAGATAGAGAATAAAGAGCTAAAAAGAATTAACTAAATTTGTTTTTAAAATTCCTAATTTAATGATCATTTAAAAAAATATAGAATATTGAATGAGAGAAATTAAGAATTTAAAGATAACTTTTTGAAAACTTTCGTTATAATAAAGATCGAGTTTAAATTATTTAATTTGATATCGAAGAAAAATGATTTTTTTTCTTCAATGAGTCTACGTGTCAATGAACGCAATACGTGTAAATACGTGTGCATAATATCGGAGTTCTGTCAATGAACGATTCGAGGTATCTTCTCCTTCTCCTTTTACTCCCTCCTCTTTGCGAACGCTATTTTCGTAGCCCTCGTGTGAGGTGCCAGCCACAAAAGTTTATAGCATCGAGAACGTGCGCTTTTTCATCAGTTAAATTCTTTAAGAGAGATGGAGAATTTGTAAAAGCATGCGTGCGATATCATTCATTATTGAAATGATTCTTCTTTTACTAATGTTTGCAAATCTTGAATTTTTTTACGCGAGATTTAATCGTATTCTCTCAAATAAGAAAGAGAGTTATAATTTCATATTATATTTTCTTGATAAATATTTTTTTTTATTATTTACAAAAAAAGTAATTATTTTTTATTTCTTTCACTCAAAAGCTGAAAAATTTAAAAGAATCTATCTAAAAATATATTTTTTAAAATTTATATATCATATAAAGATTTTCTTTTTTTATATATTTTTATAAGATTTTTTAAAATTCTTTTTTTGACACGATTATCTCCGAAATGTTCTCTATTTTTGGTCGTCCCTTCCAGGAGAATTCGAACATGACTGCGATACATTTTAAGAACGAAAAACTAACATGTTGAAACCTCAGAATTGAGAATTCTAGTAGATACAGTAAAAGATCAAAGGGTCCCATTCGTAAACCCTTAAATCTCTTCGCGCCGGAAAGACCTAAATAAAATTCCGTTATTTTTCCCGTGGAAAATTTGTTCCGCGTCAATGTGTCAAATATGTATCGCGAGTGTGTTTATTGAACCTTCTTTTTTCGGAACAAGGGGCAAGACATTTCGCAAGATTAGTCGTATTCTGAGATAAATTCATCTCTTCTTTTGTCAGATACGAAACATTTTTTCATGTTGAAGATTTCGAACTTAAGTAAGATAGAAATCCAATAGAAGAATATCCAATATAGAATTATCCAATGATAGAATTATCCAATTGACATACTTCTTTCATGTTTGTAAAATTACCAAAACGCCGACGTCTAGACGAGATTACTTAAATCCGAAAGTCCGTGTCCCATGTTCCTATTATTAGAGGAAGTTTCAGCCAAGAGTGCACAAGTCGTAGGCAAATCGGGAGACCGAGATAATATTGCGATGAGTGAATCCGAGGGAGAGACATCGAGGAAAATCGAGGACGTGCTCAGAATCAGACCATTTACATATTATATCGTAACGTTATCGAAAAAAGAATTCTACGAATAGAAGAATTTTTATATGTGTGCGTGTACATTTATGTGTGTGTTTGTTATCGTAGAAAAATCAATTAGTCCACATCTACGTAAATGCACGATAATGCGTCCACATCTACGTAAATGCATGATAATGCGTCCACATCTATGTAAATGCACGATTACGTGTCGCACAGGTAGCGGTACGTACGGACAAAGTTGATTTCACGTTGAGGAAATTGGAAGTCCTACCCGTCCTGCTCGTTTGTTTGTTACACAATCGACCACGTATGAGCCGCGAGATGCAACCGATTGTATACAGGGTGAGATTTATCTCTCTTTCTCTTAATCTTCTGACAGCAGCCGGAATTTCTCTCTGCGATTTGAAGAGAAAGAGAAAAATGGCTAATTTTAATCAATTGCCTCTAATCAACGTTCAATATTCGTCATCTGGGAAATTTGTTGCGATGAAAATCGAGCGTATTTCTAGCACACATAATCGGAATAACTAGAATCAAGTGCGATAGTTATATAATCAAAAATCACTCAAAAAATAGTCTTGTAATAATTTTACCAGATACAAGTTGATTGAAATGGATAAATGAGCAAATTAGCAAATATTGTGATCGCGTATATTTTACACTTAATCAATCTAAATGACAGTCAGAATTTATATTTAAACTGTTAATGCAATTTAGAAAGTCTTTTTTAAACAATATTCTAGCAGCAGATACAAAAGATAGCGATAAATTTTGGCTGTCAGATTTAGAAATCTATCTGCATCAACAAAAACATTTTTTTAGTTGCAAAATGTGTATAAATTACGAGCATAAAAGTACTTTTTTACATTAAATTTCTATTCGAATAAACTGAATTTATGAATCTTAATTCTGATAATCACGAGATCTAGATTATTTCGCCAAAGTGTTGGCCATTAAAAAGAAAAATCCACGCGCTTGGGACACCCTGTATATGTGAATGTCGAGCCCATGTATGCTGTGCATACTCGTGTAATTGCATTTTGTTCGTGTGCGAGTAATCGGATCGGCGCAAGCTGATCTTTTAACGCCGATAAACGGGAAGCGAGTTAATTGAAGGCGATCGCATTAACGATAAAAGCAGTCAACGGCAGCAGCGATCTTTCTTTCTTGGCTTATTGGGGATTTTTTAATGATTTATGAAATATCGCAGATATATGTCAATAGACGCCTCTCCCCCTTCACATATTGCACATATCTCTTGTATAAATTCATCGAAGCGAGAATTAGGGTAAGGTTTGCGTTCAACAATATATTGTTTAAAAGATTCACAGTCGCTTTATTTATTTGAAAAATTTATAGCAGTAGAAAAAATTGTTTAACATTGAAAGAACAAAATAGTCTGTTTTGAAAAAAAAAGAATTTTGCAGATACCAAAGTTGTTTTCTAATTAATTCTAGGTTGTATGTTACAATAAAATATTTAAATGTTACGATAAAAAGATGTGCAATAATATTTTAATCGAGAAAAAAAATTATCTGCATATATGCCCATTTATTTATATGAAATCTTTTAAGACTTAACGCAAATCTTGCAAAAGATTATACGCTAAAGACATTCTATGTAAATATATAATTGTATATGCATACAAGGTGCACAAAATAATTTCTTTAATAAGTCATATGATGTATACAGTAAGAAAAATAAATTTTCATTACGTTGCTATGACAAATGACAATGCGATGATTCGTGATCATATATTAATTACTGTCGTGCTTGTTGCTTCGACGAATTAAGTTGAATGCCAAGAAAGGCCTGTAATTTCTCAAGACGGTATTCTAAGAATCTCTAATATAATCGGAAATGATTGATTGCACGAAAGAAAGTGTTAACGGCATTTTCGCGTGAACGAAGCCATTCTTCGTGATGAATTGAAGGTTATTATTAATGTTCATAGGAGCAAATTTCATCTGTATTTCTCTTCCATCTGGCATTCTCTCTCGCATCTCCGTGCTCCGTTTGCCAATCGTAGCATCGCTGATTTATGATGAACTCGAACAAATGGACCGTGAAAAGATTCACACGACAAATCGTGTAATGATGTTTCGAAGCGTGTCAAATTTATTCCAAGAAATGTTTGAAGAATATATTTCATTAAAATTGATATAAATCAAGATGACTTAAAGCAATTAGCTTTTTGGAATAATTAGCTTATCCTAGAAATTAATTCACCGGAAATCTTTGCTGTCGTTAAATGTGATTTAATAACGCAACTAATATTTCTTTCAATTAACTAAGATTTAATTAAGAGTCAATTTTCTCAATTATTTAATTAAGAGTTTTAAAATATACTTGAAACATTCTGCTTCTACAACGACTGAGTGAAACGTTGAATTTAATTTATTCTCATATTTGATCGCCAAATTCGTGGATTAATAAATTACAATGTGAATAAACTTGTAAATGAATTAACGGTCTCGCATTCAATTTAAACAATTACCAAAATGGACGTTTGAATTTTTTATTTCCAGGCACTAGCACAGACCTGGTGCCACAGCTACTGAAGATGTTCGACGAGTTAGCGCGACGCGGCGATGACTATGATGGAGAGCACGTGGTCCTGTCATCGTCCTGCGGAATCCCGCCGGCTCTGCAGAAGCGTCTGAGCCTGGTGCCAACCGCCCATCGAGACTCCATACTCGGTCAGTTCCGCACTGGCGACTTAACAAAGCCTACGCACCAGCGGGACAACTCGAAGAGCAAGGAAGAAGAAAGCCAGTACGTCGAAATCGCGGACGTCACCGGTACCGATAACACCATGCTGGTGGAAACGGTAGCGTCCTTACCGGAAGACGGGGAACGTAACGGGGAAGTCACCGAGAAGCCGATGTACGAGAGACGAGAGAGCAACGGTCTTATCCCGCTCAGGTACAACAGACGACGTAGGAACGGCACGGGGAGACCGCACTCCGGAAGCTCCATCGCGTCCAGCACGTCCTCCAGTAGCTGCAGCAATCAGGGCAACACCTGCGCCGCGAATCCATATTTGGCGTCGGTCGAGTCTCTCGCCGACACCTGCGCCAGTTCGCAGGGTTCCGCGGACAGCGGAGTCGCGACTGTTTCGGAAGCCAGTTGTAGAATCTTGAACGGCGACAATGGACAGAGGAGGGACAGCGCCGAAGAGAGCCCCGTGTGCCACAGACCTCGCTATTGCGACCCTCATCGCAACCCCGTCGAGAGGGTACTGCTAGAGATCGTGGACACGGAAGCGATATACGTCGAGCATCTGCGTCAGGTCATTCAGGGTTACCTGATATTCTGGCGGGACGATCCGCCGTCGTTCGCGCGCCAATTGCATCTCGGCGATCTGTTCAGCAATATCGAGGACATTTTCGTATTTAATAGAGAATTATTGAGAGACATCGAGAGATGCGGTTTGGATCCTGTTTGCGTGGCGAATACGTTCATCAAGCATAATACGGGATTCAAAGTTTACACCGAGTATTGTACCAATTATCCCAGAACGGTTTCCGTGCTGACTGATTTGATGGGCCGGGAGGAAACCGCGTCCGCCTTTCGCGAACGGCAAGCGGCTCTGGGGCATGCGTTGCCACTCGGGTCGTTTCTCTTGAAGCCGGTTCAGAGGATCCTCAAGTATCACCTGCTTTTAGAGAATTTGTCGAAGGAATACGGCGCTGATTGTAATTCGAGAGAGAATGAGGCTGACGAAGGCATGAGCGCCATCGAGGCTGCTCTCGCCGCGATGACTGGTATAGCGAAGCATATCAATGCCATGAAGAGGCGACACGAGCACGCCGTACGTGTTCAAGAAATTCAATCGCTTCTGTACGGTTGGCCGGGACCAGACCTGACTACGAGCGGCGAATTGGTCGCGGAGGGTCGATTCAGGATGCGCGGGGCTAAAGCACCGCGACATGCCTTCCTCTTTGATCGTATGCTTCTTTTGACAAAAAAAAAGGAGGATGGTCTTCTTGTTTACAAAGCTCATATCATGGTACGATTACTTTTATACCGTTCTTCTTTACCTTTGTTAATTTTCTTTTTCTCATATTTTTCTCTACATATTGATCGATTCGATTTTTTACCGTATAAATTCTTTTTGAATTTTAATTATAGTTTGAATAAAGCACATTTCTTAACCATTTTAATTTTTAATAATTTTTAATAAAATTATAATTTCTTTGTAAAATATATAAAATAATTTTTCTTCTCTTTGTGCTTCTAGTGTTCAAATTTAATGCTGATTGAAAGTATTCCGGGGGAACCATCCAGCTTTCATGTGATACCTTTTGATAATCCTCGGTTGCAATATACGTTACAAGTAAGAACTTTCGAGATATTTTTTTAATTGTAAAGTAATAGCTTTAAATACGCATGTAAAAAATATCCTTATTTAATGTTCTACTAATTTGTTTTCCAGGCACGCAATCTAGAACAAAAGAGAGAATGGACCTTACAAATAAAGAGAGTGATATTAGAGAATTATAACGCGGTTATACCGTCGCACGCGCGACAATTAGTTCTGCAATTGGGTCAAACGCAACAAGAAGGTATGCATAAATAGCAATATTGTATAATTAAAAATCTCTACTTTTAATTATTATACAAATCGAAAGGAAAAAAATAACATAAAATACTTTAAACAGACGACGCGTTGACGGATAAAGGATCAGCGAAGAAACACTCCGCGCCTCCGGAATATCTGGAGAAACGTAAGCAGGAGAGGGAAAGACGTAGGTCCGAGACTGGTTTGAGACAAAAGCTGAAAAAGGGTGTCAGAAAATCTGATATTACAATGGAGGTGAGGTCTAGAAAATATGCGAAAATTTCTTGATATAAGTCAGAAATTTTATAAATCTTTTTTTATCAATACATATATCATTAGGGTTCATCTGTGTCATCGCGCAAAGATGACAACGAAGATGTTGCCGTTAATGACTCCAAGGAGCAAACTCTTAATAGGTCATCGGATATACGCGTTTCAAAAGTCAAGGTATTATTGTAATATAATTATTACGAAACTATATACATATAATTCATATATATATATTTTAAAAAATTATTTTCCTTCTCGATTATTAGATTATTTTATCAATGTATCATTTATAAATTATTTTGTTATTATTTTATAAAATCTTATTTAAATCTTTATTATTTTATACTTATTTATCTAGTGTCATTAAATTTTTACGTCATTTCTTAATATTTTTAAAAAGCTATGTATATACATATATATATATATATATATATATATATATATATATTTAGATTATATAATAAATATATATATATATATATATTCAGGATCGCTTCACCGGCTGGAGACGAAAATCTGAGCCAGGCTTCCAATCGTACGTGTCTCTCAATCACTCAGACGAGGAACAAAAGACAGACATTACTGGCGATGCTCAATCTACAACAACCAAGATCGAAGAAACAGTCAAAACTTCTGCCGAGAAAGAGACTCAAATGACAAACTCATCGTCGCCGAGCGAAGCCAAAGATAATAATAATGAACAGCAGCATACCACTCCTCCACAAACAGTGGAGGAAATCGTCGGTCATATTCTCATGCAGAATCAAGAATTCCAGAGATTGTTGGAGAAACAACGAATTAACAGTATCATCAATGTGCGACAGCAAAGATTCAATAAACGTATTTCGGCGGACACGTCAGACGAAAGCGATTCGGAGAATGCTAATTATATCAGCTCGAGTAATCACAACAACAATAGATTGGGACGCAATCGGGTGACGCATCGGGAACAGCGACTGAACAGGACGAACAACGCATGGAATTCATTGTCCTCGGCAACTGCAGCGCGGGAGAATCAGCAACCGTTGCAGCTTTTTTACGACAACCTGAAGACCGCTCAAAACTCAATGGAAACGATAACGCAGAATGAGAATACAAATCACGTGCACGAGAAGCGAACGACCTTTGAGACGTTCAAGCGACAGAGTATTGTCACTGATAGTAAAGTGATCAAGACGGCGTTGCGTATCCGTGATAATTCGACATCGATGGCTAGTGAGAAGATCCTCGTATCGTCCCCATGCATGTTAAATCACCGAACGTCCGAGCGCAAGGATGTCAATTCTATCGTAATGACGGAACGTATCGAAAAAGACGGGTCTGAACGATGCAAAGGTGAAAGGAGCGATGCGAACGATGCGGAAGAAGCCGAGTCCAAGGGTTTCGGCAACTACGATAATCTGCAGCACGTTTGGGAGGGCCTGCAGACAGCGAAGAACGTCGACGACGGCAACGATAGCCCAACTCAGCCTGCTGTCTGGCTTACCAAACTATGCGAAGACCTGCCCACCTCGCCACCCAAGTGTGGCTCGTTACCGCGCAGTTTCCAGATAAGCCCTAACTCGCAACCAACAAGCGTGACTAAGTCGCGCTTTTTACAACGAGACGGCAAACCAATGAGCGAGCGACCGTTTACTATCGCGTCCGATAAGCCGGCGGAGATTAATCTCGAGGACATGGAGAGATACGCATCTACGTGTCAACCAGAGGGCAGAATCGCCAAGTTTCCTACTACTTCGACGAGTTCTAGTTCATCAACCTTTTTCTGCTCGCTGGAGGATACGCGATTGACTGACGATGCTTACTCCGACGTGCGTATGTCTACCACTGACAGCGCGAATATTCATCCAGATCATAAGATCTATCGGGCGAACGGTAGCAGTGGCAGCGCGATCTTTCGGAACGTCTTCTTCAAGGCGAGTAGTCGTCTGCAGGGCCGTTTGCGGAATACTATGAGCACAGAAACACTCGAATGCAACGACGAACTCGAGCGGACACGCTACTTTCGCTCATTGAGTGTCGTAAATGGCAAGTGTTCGAAGAAGCGATCTAAACAGACGAAGCAACACGCGAAGGAACCATCTTCGGATGCTGAAGAATTGGTGGGCTGCTCGAGCGTCGGCTCGATCAGCGATCAGCGGATACCCCAACTTTACTACAAGCAAGGCAGTTCCAGTCTCGGCGCCAGAATCGCCCAGTCGGATTACGCCGATCCGACGATTCTTTTTGCCGAGAATAAACGCATTCAGTCCTCTTCCATTGATGTCAATCAATCATTCGGCAAGACCAACGAATCGCGGGAGAGAGATCGCGAAGAGGAAGAGGAAACAAATAGCAACAAGGATGCAGAACGTCGCGAAAGCGAAACAGACAGCTTCTACGAGAGGAGTTTCGAGACCATCGAGAATTACGCGGATGCCGATACAGACGAGGTATACCGGGATAGTGCAATATTCAGCGATGTCGATGAAGTGTTCGTAATGCGACAATCGACGCCAACGACAACGACGACAAAATCGACGACGTTGGCGAAGGTGAAAATCGCGCCGCCAATACCTGCTAAGAGAAAACAAGAAGCGTTCTCGATGTCATTGTCATCAAGATGCAAACCGAGCGTCGCACAAAAGCCAGATTATCTGAAGATAAAATCTGTCTTAGGGAAGGGGCACGCTGTCGATGATTCGGAAATCAGGGTCACCACGAAAGTGAACACGATTTATCAGTCGCGAGATGATTCGCCGATTAGTTGTAATCGAAACTCTGAGATGGATAGGGACGATGTCTCAGCAGGACAGAGTCAAGCGGGTTGGGTACGGAAGATAGTAGGTCAATTGCAGGGGCACATCGAGACGTGATCCGTACTTATATATATATATATATATATACACACGAATGAATAGAGCTAATTGCGAGATGAGCCAATAAAAGTTTCGAGTCATAGTCGGTTAGTTATGTGGATAAAATGAAGCAAATGTTTTTATAAGAAGCAGTTCATGTTTTAAATTTAAGAAATTTATTGAATTATTAATTTTGTATGAAGTTGAAGCAAACGATCTTGTCTAAGAAAGTATCATTTATTCTTAGATAAGACATGGACAAACAACTTAGATAAGACATGGACACACTTTGTAAAAATTGGAAATAAAAATAGATAATTTGATAAATAGAGACATACAGTGAAAATACCTATGGATTTTTCGATCCATAATAAGATGTTCTTAATATCACAAAGTAAATACGCTTACGTAATATTTTCAACGAACTCTATCTTGTATGGAGGTAATTTTCAACAAAAATAATTCTCTAATGTTATCTTTATTCCAATATTTCTCTAATATTACTTTTATTTCCAATATTTTGACCTTTTTATAGAGGAAAATAATAGCGTTTGCTTTGCATTATTCATATAATCTTTTGTACTGAAAAATTTGAGGATTAACTTTAGTTAATGTGCCTTCAATATGTGCCTACAAGGTAATTAACGCAACGTGATACTATTACTCTATAATAAATTGATATCTCTTTAATGTTTATGTGCGTAATAAGCGTATAGACGTTCATGATTATTTCATAAAAGCATAACAAAATTATGTCAATTGTTTTCAATATCCTATAGACTGTTGAAATGTATGTTAAAATAAATATTATTTGATATTTTACTTGTACTATATAGAGCGTGTAAGAGACAGGAACAGTTTCAATTGAACAAAACATTTAAGAAAGTCATTTAACTTCCAATTGAAGAAGTCGTCAGTTAAATTATAGCTAAAGAATTTGAAAATGCAAGTTTCAAACAAATTTTATTCCCAAATACACATCTTCTACTTTTTACACAAATAATTAACTGTGACTACTTCGTACCAATGATCAAATAAATTTAAATAATTAAAATGTTGACTAGAAAATAAGAAAATAGTATATATGCCAGTGTATATGCTACCATATAACGTGTGTATATAATAATATGTTTTATATAAAACCTGCCACAACTATGTATTCTTCATTCTCGACCAGGCACTAGACATAATTTTCGGGTAAGTATAAAGTCTATAAATGCCAGGATGCATCAGGATATAATGGATTGCAATGCTACAAATGTCTTCGACTATATATATATTCTTTTTTCCTTTAGATGGATTTTATTGCGGGAAGGTCTATTTACAGAAAAGTTTGTGATTGTTCCTATAGATACATCGGAAAATTAAATACGTTTACTACACGTAATTATAAATTATTTTCTCGCAATACTGTATTTATATAAAAAATGACTAAAACGAAGACTCGGCGAACGCAAGATATAACATATGTATGTATAATACGTTATACACATTATATACAACTTTCGCGTATAATTACAGACTTAGTCGCTAGTACAATTCCAATTAATATTTATAAGGAAATCTTTTATTCTTCTCTCCCGTTTGTGTATAATACGTAACTTTCGACTACAAAGAATAAATCAACATCTAATCTCGTCCTGTTTCGCAACGTATCTGTGTTATATAAATTTTTTCGGGAAGAAGGGACAGCATTACATAATATTCTTTAAATAAATAATTAAATGCACGTGACAAAGTAGTAGTTGGTGAGAATCTTCTTCTTTTTATACAGCAAAAAGCTCCTTATATTCCTAAAATCTCTCTGTACGATGTAACATTATATTTTTGTTTCGCTCTTCTAATTTCTGGTTGGAAGAATAATTTTGTTCGTTTGTTCTACCTGTGTTACTACGGCTTTAGTTAACAACTATTACTGATATATCGGCAATTCGTATCTTCAACATCTTCCGGCTAATTAACAAAATTATTGGAATTCATTCTATTAGATATTAAGTGAATATCTCTTTGAATTTACAATATATATGTCAAGAAATTTTATTAAATATATTTGTTTATATTTATGTATATATATATATATTTCTCTCTCTTTTTATCCATCTTACGTAACTTACGAATTTGCCTCTCAAAATATTTTGTATATTTCTCTGCATGCAAAACGTAATGCACGTGTATTATCAATCGCTGTCAGATTCCTGATAGTAAATAATAATAATACATGCATGCGGCGCTTAATCTTTTTCTATCCTTTAGATTATCGGATTGAAAAGTATTTATTTTGAAACCAATATATTTCCCGATATTAGAAGTATCAGAGATGTAATAAAATTGAACTGAAATTTATTCTATCATAAATTGGTTTCACGAAGAAATTTTTTTTGATAAAATTGAATAAAAATCAAATAAAATAATCATGGAATATAAAATGGAAATCTTATATTCTTAGAAATCGTTATGCATGATGAAATTCTGAAAACATTTTTTAATATTTTTCAAAAAATAATATGAATATATTAGAATCATATGCCAATAAAGAACACAAAAAATCAATTTAATCCGAATAAATCCGAGGGATGGTTGAAGATTAAGGACTATAATATGTATTACTGTCTCGCGCACGTTGAAATAGATTTCAAAGTTCAAAATATGCAAGAATTAAGAATTTGAAACTCAAGCATCCGTATGTATAGAGGCAAACCATTAATATGGTCAATGTGTACAGGTACATTTTATCGCTGTATCAATTGTCCTAACACTTACACATGTACATGTTTGCGCAAAAGGACTTTTCGAAGATCGCTAGTATGGGTGTACGATACTCTTCGCAAACTGGACGCAATTATTCACTACATATATATATAGATTAATCGCATATATCTCTGTATATATTTCGTTTTCTGAATGTATTGAAAAATAAAGGGGTTCTCTTTTTTATGTCCTTTTTAAATTAATCCATTCGAATGGAAAATAAATCTAAATCTGTTGCATGTATCTACATCTATCTCGTATTCGAAATAACTTGAAGAAATGATGAAAGTGCGAATTTATCATGCCCTTTATTAATTTCTTAATTGTATAAAATTAGCGAAACAGATATTTTTCTCGACGTGTCTTACACCCATACTCTAATTTTATTATCTTTTATAAAAATTAAAGAATGAAATTTCAATAGTCGCGAGCACAGAATATGGATATGTGAAATTTACACAAAGTGTGTGTGTATGTGTATGTATGTGTGTGTCTTTTTAATGCATATAATTCTTCTAATACTTGGTCTGTGTCAGAGGATTAAAAAGACTTTAATTGTGTCATCTATCTTTTTTTCTTCACTCTGTACTAAAATTTATCCGTTTTAGAGATTTATAATATCTACTCTGATGCCAGTGATGTATCTACTTTGATGTCGCCTTTTTCCTTCCATGATTCGCTCGATACGATGCTCCGGATAAAATTATTGTCTTTACAATAATACAAAAATTCACATCAGGTAACATTGCAATTACTATTTACCATTATTTTTATCAAAATATTTTGTAAATATGTACGTCCCCGGAAAGAAGCAGAATAATCTCGCGCAAATAAAATTTCTCGCCCATATCAAAATAAAATAATATCTATCCTTCCACATCTGACATTTCTAAACTATTTAATAACACTTGAACAGCCTTTAGATAACTTTCTAGCTGGATTACATCTGCGTGGAATAAAGATAATGCTCCGTCTTTTTCAATATATATCACAATCTTTCTTCTTCTTTTAGACATCAAGCAGATTTATATTTCGATTTATACTAATAATAGTTTGCTCGAATAATTTTTACAATATTAGGAAAGCGGAGATTGTCGACTAAACAAACATTGAAAATACATAATTTTACGGATATCAAACATTTTGCCAGAAATATTAATATCGTAGATATTTAACAGATCTGGTATTAGCGTATTGTTATTAGCAAGTATGTATAGGGAAGACAATTACGTTTCTGTTTATAACAAATAACATGTAGACTTGACTAACAGAATTTAATCGATCGTAGAATAAATTGACAATTTATATAAAAACGATTGGCAGAAATCGACAAATTCTTTCGATTATTCGAAATCGAGCAAATTTAAAATTCTGCAAAATTGAATTGCGAATTTAAATATGCATGATAATAATTAAATTAATTTAAAAACATTATCGCTTTGGATTTTGCCATGAGGCGAAAATTCAGCGGAAACAATAAGACACCGATTCATAACTTCGCTAGGATATATTTTGAATTTTTTTTTCGATAGTACTTTCTTTGAATAATCTATTCTCTATGTACAGAGAAAAAGATGCATATAAAATATCAAAATAGTTCAACACTCCGCAAAGATAATTTCATGAGTTTCGCTCTGATCTGACGATTCTTTACAGTTCGATTTACATACTTTACAGTTCGTCTTTCGCTTTTCTCAGCAAAGAATTACAAATTAAAGACTCTAACTCAATAAAATCTCGACAGAAATAGATGGAAAAGTGCCAGATATTATATAAATATATATATATATATATATATATATATTATATATACATATAAATGTATATTATATATATATATGTGTGTATATATATACATATATACATATATATAATATATATATATATATATATATATATATATATATACACACGAATATCAGTCCAGAGAAAATAAAATGTGCGTTTTTTACACGACCAAGAATTTCTGATCTTCATGATTAAGTATAATTGCAATAATGAATTATTTAACTGTAATATGTCAATGAAGATACGATTGTGAATTAATTATGCTTTTTTCGCGTTATTTTACGAATATGTTTATTTAAAAAATTGCCGTTAATTTACGTTATAATCGAATAAATATGTCGAATTTAAATATCAATTCTGAAAAGTGATACAAAAGGAACGCAACAGCATTATAATGAATATAATGAAATGATATCTTTACTAATTATTAGAGATTAGTGAATATTTCATAAAAAATATTAGTCAAATATTCCAAATAAAAAAAGGGAATGTTTTGTTTCCTTTAATCATTATCGAGCTAAGAATCGATTCGTAGACGCATTGATTAGATTTTAGCAAACATGTTTGGGATAATACATATAATATTTATACAAATAAAATTTCTCTCGTTAAATTAAATGACGTTGACGATACTCGAGAGTTGCAGATTTCGACTGCGTAAATTTAAAACGCAGTCAACGATCTTTTCTCTCGCCTAAATCCTACATAATCCAGCACTCTTCCTCAAGCATTATAGAAAGTCTACTGTAAACGAGAAAATACATTTCTCCCAGTCTTGAGACCGATCACATGAAAGTTATGTTGCGTTCGTCGCTTCACAGATATATACGATAATATCGTCGTTGACAACATATAACGATACCAAAATTACTGGATATAAAAAAAAACTGCAGACAAATATTGTGATCTCTGATGCGAATTACATATGCAGCCGATTTATATGGAGAGAAGTACTCGAACGAAAATCGCATAAAAGAAATCATTTTTATCCTTCTCTTCTCATTTTATTTTATTCGCGTGACTGCATTTTTTCCTGACACATATATCACAATGGCGCTTCATCAGAGAGCACTATAATGACTCGACAAAAGAAGCAGATTATTTCATAAAGCAAAAGATATCGGGGATTATTGTTACGTAAATCTCTCAAGGCTGATCATGAGTCAACGATCGCGAATATTTTATTACAGTCACGATCAATATCGTGCAGCAAGCGAAACGATTCGAACATAGTAACGCGTATATATTTCAAGATAAATTCGCGCGATCGCTATCGATGACATTGTCGTGCAATTTATATATTTAATATCGCCGAAAAATTAGAGACACCGCGAGACGAACGCGATGTCTGAATAAAGATAATTCTCTCGAAGTGTGATCCCATGCCCAACGAAATGAAGCTCGAATAGCGTAATTTATCGTGCGTACACACATTCTCAAAGATGACACATTGGTACAAGCGAATTTTGTACTGCTTACATGTGTGTACATATAATATATGTATACACGATATTATATATACAATTCACATAAGGAATTCATTTCTACACGGAACCTCTCGAAAACGTTTTTACAGGGCATTATACATCAACTAACTACTTTCCTTCTATGTCGTTGCCATTTTCTCTACGATCTATCGTCTTTGGAAGCAAATACACGTGATGTTTCGCTCCCACCAGATTAGATTTCAGTGATAAACTCGCTACTTCAGAATCATTTCTTTTCTTAACAAAGACTTTCTTTTTCGGCGCACCAGTTCTTACACTTAGAAATAATAAAAAATAAAATTTTTATTTAATTCATCTTCAAAATAAATCTAAATAAAATTTTCATTTATTCAATTTGCGCAATTTTGTATTTATATGCAAAAATGTAATTAATATCGACAAAGTGGAAAAGTTGCAAATAAAATATACATTTTTTTAAAATTCGTTAAAAGTTCGATCACTGAAATTCAAATCTCGTGAAAGTGAGACAACCAAGATATATATTAAAAGTTGTAATCTCGATTAATGTCACACAGATTCCGTCAAAGTTACACGAAAATTCCATCGGATATTGCATTTGGATGCAGCGGATAATGCTTTAACCTTCGAAAACTTTACGCGATCTCGTGTATGTAAGAATATAAATATTGTCTCGTTTAGAGAATAATCTCCTGCACTCGTCGAAAATACAAATATGTGAGCTCTTAGCCTATTAAATCAATATTACGATCAAAATGGTTTTCGAAGGCTAAAAGCTAATAGGAATATATAGCACGACTCTAGGAAAAAAAAGATAAAATCCGAAACTGTACCGTTTGCAACGTTGTAAGAGTTTTGTTGCCTATAAAACACGCTATGCAATAATACTCTTGCATCATATACTTAGCTAATTTAGCTATATATATAATATAACGTCGGAAACACGGAATAATCTCTATATTAATTTTCCTTTCCGAGGTTTTAATTTTAATTTCATCATAAATCTCTTTTTGTAGTTGTATCGTAGTGTACATAATTTATATAAGAGTGTAATTTACACATGTATAACTATATAAACTAGGAAATCGCTTTTATCCGATACTTTTCCAAGCATATGGTTTTTATTGGCTTCATTTAATCAGGCATAAGAATAAGTTTCGCGTACATATTCTCTGTTTCAAGTTTCGTGCCTTTCTGTTAAACTCAATACCTCTTCCTATCATGGTGCATATCCACTGAAAGGACTAAGTTCTAAGATGCCTTTCGTTAAAAAAAGTTATCGCAAGTAAATTACTAGTTTATCATTTTATCGTGATATCGATTATTATCGGAGAGACAACGGTAATCCACTGCAGCAACATCGAAATTGCACGTTGCAAAGTAGTGAAAATAATTAATTATTAATTGTAAAGCTTTTACCTCTCTGCATACTTTAACCTCATCGCTCTCTCGTAGTCGTTCCATGTTACACGTGCAGTTCAATCACAAATCGTGCGAGACGATAATGCAGCGTGTGGTCGCAAGCTAACAATTTGAAAATCGATACTTAATAGCTGGCCTCATGTCCAGCGAGTATGTAGAGATCCGCCCCTTCCGATTCAGTCAATGTGCCACTGTGAACCAGGTGACTCTCCAACATCACAACCCTATTTAATACATAGTCGTTAATTTTATTTTCTCTTTAATTACGAATATTAATTTAATCTAATTATAAATATTATATCTAATGATAAATTTGACCAATATATAGCATTCTAGTTAAAAAAACTAAAATATTATAAAATACAAAATACAATATGTAAAAAATGTAAAAATTAAAATTTTATCAATAACATTGAATATCTCTTTTGATGTATGAAATATATTATCTCTTTAAAAGAGAAAAATTATTATTATCAAATCTATTTTGAAATTATTTGTCAACACATTCAATATCTCTCTTTTTCTCTCTCAAGCAATGTAAAAATTTTATCAAAAAAGTATCCCAAATTTATTTTTAAATCACAATTAAAGTTCCAATAAAAGAGAAATTTGCAAGAATATCAAATCTCATTAATACAAAATTCTTTTTTCATTATTTTTCTATTCTAAAAATTCTATTATATTAATGTATTATTAAGTGCATTATTTTTTTTATTTTTCAAACTTTTTATATCGTCAGATACATACTTGTCTGAGCCTAGTAACCTGTAAGTTCTGCTCGGATCACTAATCTCTTGAGTAACTTCGCCATTCTTAAAACTTCTACCTTGCATACCATGTTTGTGGAATGCCAATACACTATCTGGTAGACAAACTAATAAAAAAACATTGTTATATTCACAAAGACTGATATGGATTGCGAGTAAACAAAGTGTTTTGTACTTACTAATAGATTCAATTTGAAAATTAAATTGCAGCTCTGATAATTGTTTTTTGCTAACTCGAGGTTTCCCTTGTAAAGTCACCATCTTCACCACGTCTGTAAATACGAATTTATGTTTAATTTATAACATATTTAATTTATAACACATATTACTATATATAATAATAAGATAATACTTCTAGTAACTCACTATCGTAACAAACGAGTATTACATCTTTTTCAAACTGTGTGACATTAATAACATTCAAATTCTCTCTTCTTGGTATCACAGTTGCTGAAACAATATTTTTATTGAAAATAGGATGATAGTTCTTTCAAGTAATAAAGATAGAATTACCAGATTTTTAAAAAGAGAAAATCAATTGCAAATGTCTTTTGTATAAAAAAATTATAATAATAGAGGTGATTCTTTACAAACAAGTAAATTTTGTTGACAGATAAGTATGACATAAGAATACCTGAACCATCTATGTCTTCTAATTCGTCACTGTGGAACCAACTCGCTCCTGAGTTCATATTAATCAAATCCAATTTCAGTTTATTCTGTTGATATGGCTGCTTAACTGATACACACACCATTGGATATTCCATCTCAGGTGTGATAACCATTCTAAAGACGTTTAAAGGCGACGGTAGAACGCAGTCAAAATGTTTTAGAAGCATAAATTTATTCAATGGATCGTACCACTGCATTAGAAATATACCAGCCGGCATCGCGCCGCACAAATATTTGTACCTGTACATTTAAAAAGATAAAGCATTATGTTTGTTAAATTTTACTTAACAAGCTTACAAATATGACAAATTATTGTATCCAATTTTTTCTCATCCTTATTTCATTGAAAGATTATACTTTGTATATTTTTAAGAAACGTAATAGAATTTCTCACCCATTATATGGATTTCTTCCAACGCAGCACTTGGTACATCCCTTTGTGTCTGGTACCTTTGTAGTGAGGGCGAATTTCCTAGGGACTAATCTCTCTGGTATTTTATTCATGTGCAACGAAAACCTATGAGTTTGTTTACTTAGCATCGCTAATAAGTCGTGCCTGTACAACTGAGGCGTCTTTCCTACAATACACATCATTAATATTATTTAGAGAAAGAATACGAATTAATCAATTATGCAAGAGCATCAATGATAATATATAAGCACTTACCGGAAAGAGACATGAGAACATCTTTAATAACGTACATCCAGATAGTACGTCTCGGATATAATTGGTCTATCGCGGTTTCATGAAGTTCGTTCAAGTTCAAGTTGTAAATTCCTTCTTCCGCCGCGATCAACAAGTGCTGATCCCTCGTATCCGGATGAATCCAACTCGCGGTACAGTGTATTCTTAGCGGACAGCCATTGAATACCTAATAAAATTTGCAACAATAAATTTGAAATAATAAATGATATATAGTAATATATAATTGAAAAGAAATAATATATTATTAAAATTTTAACATATTATCAAGAAATGCAATAAAAGAAATATTTTTATAAAACTTATTGTAATAAATGCAACATATAATATAATAATGAGCATTCAAAAAATAATTCATATATATAATTTTTTTATTGCTTTTATTAAATTATTTATATATTATTTAATTTACTATATGAAAATTTCTCTGGCCATTATTTTATATACATTAACACACACATAAAAAAATAAAATCAACTAACCTTTGAGAAACACGCTCCCATGTGCACTTTTGGTGTGGGAGGTAATCCGTTACTAATAGGTCTCGGTGGTGTGTGTCTTTTTCGATCCCTCCTCCTCGGAGGGACGGGCGGTGTATCTGAGAGTAAGTCGGGACTCATACTCTCTCTATCTTGATCAGCTGCTATTTCATTGTCGCCTGAAAAGAAATTGAGATAAATGAAATAGATGAATAAATTGAGAAAATAATTGAATGATTTGAGATTGAATGAAATGATTATATATTAATGTCGATAATATAATCACGAATAAAGAAAGTAGATAATAAATGTATTATGTGTATCGAATATTTACATGAACATTAAAATGTTCATGATCTAAAGCACTAAACTCACAACGTACGCTCTTACCGTTTGACTGCGCAGATTCATCTCTAGGGCCGCTATCCGACAATGATCGTTGACGCTGACCATTCACGGTTGTTAGGGACTGAGAATTATTGACGAGACCGTATAATTCATCCACGGAACTGTGACGTCGGGGACTAGCTTGAGATCCTGTGCACACGAATCTACTCTTTATTATTCGAACACGCGAATAAATTTAAAGCAATTTGATTAGATTATATGCAATAAAATTTTTTTCTACATTGTAAATCACTTACCAGACACATTGTAATAGGGACAATGGACTTCGCAATCGTTCGATGATTCCCCGAGTGGAAGAGTGGCTCTAAAAAAAAAAGAAAGCATGAAAATGCAAATGTTACTAATTTAACTATTTTTAATTTACTTAATTTACTATCGTTACTCTTTTCAAACACGCTTTATTGAAAGAGAAAAAAAATATTTGTTAATAAAGAATAAATAACATAAAAAAATAAAATACACATTAACGGCATTGTAATAATGAAATAATAAAATTAAAATTAAAAGTAACAATAAAATTAATAATCAGGATCAGATATTTCTCTTGAAATGATTTTCGAATAAAATGTGATGCAAAAATAAGTTAGAGATGTGAAAGCTGCACATTTCTTGCAGATTTTAGTACAACACAAGGCAATCGTGTTATCAAGTGTTAATAAGATCAATCATGAGGCCTGTTTTGGTGTTACATAATGAATTTTTTGGCAAATATTGTCAGTTGAACAAACAGGCAAAAACAGCCACGTAATATATTTCCTGTAATAAATCAATTTTTTCCCCTTTTTCTCACATCGATATTATTCATATAAAGAAATTAAATCATTTAATATTTAAATAATATTTAAAACGATATCTTAATAAAATAATACTACAGTAAAATATCTAGAATTATGTTAATGTTTTCCGATAAATAAAACATATATATATATAATCAAATAAATATTTGATACTTTCATGATAATGTACCAACCAAAAAAATATATGTTGGATAATAAAAAAATTATTTACTGTAATTTATTTTATCTACTTACTGCAGGGAATATAGCTGGTCGCAATGCCCACCGACCATCGACATTGCATTTCCCCTGCACACATGAAACTATAGGTCATATACTATAAACATTATAAACTCATTTCTTGATACTGCTCGAAATATTCTGCGCACAATGCTTTTTAGAATTTTGTAAATAATATAAGATATTTGAGCAATTAATACTGTTTCTTAATATTAATTTGAGCAATTAATACTGTTTCTTAATATTAAAGCAATTAATACTGTTTCTCCTTTTTAGATACACGATTACATTAAAAAATATTACTCCATGATTAAATAGATTTTGATGTATCTTTCTTTTTTTATCATAATTTTTTATATTTTATTCATAACATGTATATAATATCTAAATAATTGCAAGAAGAATCTATAAAAATTATAATTTCTTACAATCGATTTTCATAAATTCATTTCAAACCTTCCAGTATATGTAAATAATCTTATATTATTATATAGTTCAACAAAAAAAGTTATTCTCTTTCTCGTATTAAAAAACGATAATTTTATTGAACTGTATTATTATAGAATAAAAAAAAACAATTTTATATAATAAAACACATGAAACTTTAATTATATGTAAACTAACATGTTTTCTCTTTCTTTTTCTCCCTCTCAATATTAGATACAGAAACTCCTTCACACCAGTATGACTGATATTTATAAACAACTTTCAAATATCAAGATGATTGAAAAAAAAACTAACATGCAACAAATAACATTAAATGCGTAACATAAAAAAGAAGCATAATTCTACAACTATCTAAAATGTGTTTGTAATATTATTTTGATCACGCTGCGGATGTTGATTAAATTTGAGATAATTGATTGTTTTCTAAGACTAGATTATAATTTTAGTCATTTTGTTTTTTAGTTAGATATTAAGAAAATATTGTATAATATTATATATTATTATATTAATTATATAAATATATGTATATATAATTTTTTAGTACATTTAGCTAAACTAATCTCTTTTTAGAGTAATTTATAAGAAATTATATAGAGACAAAATATATATATAATTTCAAAGAAGTCTTTTAAAATTAACACAAAACCGAGGAAAATGCGTGTTAATTTTAATTAATACTTGCAATAAAATAAGAAGATATTTAAAAAATGAATTAATAATAAAGCGAATTAATTAATTGTCCGAGTAATGCAATTTACAAAAGTAATTAACGCAATTATTAGGAGATATAAGTGCAAGGTGCAAGGTGCAAGGGAAAAGGGTTACCTGCCAATACCTTAGCAACAACTCCTCATCAATGTACTGCAATAGACTCCTGTTGGGAGAAATTATTAAAATTACAAACTGATCAGAAAAATCAAAAAATATATTAAAAGAGAATAATTAGAAATGTGGATTACAAAACGAAATTTGGAGCATAGGGCAAATGTGCTATAGGATCAAGGATTAATAGTGGATATAAATATTATTTTACAGCCGAATAAGTTATGTTGTTAAGATATATCAAAAATACTCGGGCAATCCTTATTTTCGTACGAATTAAGCGGTATTTTTAGATTTCCCATTTTTGTTAGACTTTTCTTTCTAGATGTAAAAATGCACAATTTTAGCTTTTAGAATAACTAATTCTAATAGACGAAACTGTTAATCTTATATGTTGGTGTATATACAAATATATCTCAAAAAGTGACCGTACTTACTTCAATAAAATGCATGTACGACACATCAGCAATCCTTTGACAAATTTGCTATCAAATCATGCATACAAGCAATCGTATCTATCGCCTAACATGCAAAAAGTAGTGTACTGTAATTTCGTATATACACAATATATTGTTAAATTTCTGTCCCGCCGAAATGTATCTATATATAAAAAATTGTCTCATATATAATTATCTTTTTGTTATATAAAAAAATTTGTTATCAAATTTTTTACACATCTCATTAAAAAGCATTATTAACTCTCTATTTAAATAATTCTTACATTTAATTTATCGTTCTTTTTAGAGCTATTTTGGTGTAGAAAAATTTTAATGTAATTTTTATTTTTTTACATTATAATTATAACTTGGATTGCTTCAATATTACTCAGCGATAAACTGGTCAAAACTTTCCAAACATTTAGTATTAAGAATATATGAATAGTATATAATTTGTGTTGGTAAAGCTATATATCTTTGTTAAAGATAAAAAGAAATTTTTTCACTCCAGACATCAACCGAGGAAATTATTTATATTACCTTATAGTCATACGAAATATCTCTGTGCCAGTTTTGCTACGACGTTTCGATATTTTACTTGTCTTAAGGTTCGCGCCAAGTGTACTGACACAAAAAATGAGCATGTCTTTAAGAAATATAGCGATGACAAATACAAGACAAAATATATGGCTTAATTATAGGCAAAATTATTTTTTATCGATTTTATGGATTATTTAGATATTTTTTATTTACGGTAAGAATAAAAAAAATAGGATTAAAAAAATATCGGAGATGCAAAAATTACAAAGAATAAATCCCTGTATAATATCCATAAAGATTTTGTAGCATCTGATTATGTATATAATAATCGTCTCTTTTGTTTTATAAAAATTTTGTCTATACTATCCACTTACATTAAAATATTTCAGAATATGATGTGTTGCTGTTTTAAGTGTAAGAGTAATGAATGTACATTCTTCTCTCGTTTGAGATTATGATTTAATAACTAAGTATGACACGATGTAAAGCAAAAGCACATACTATATATGCAATGTATTTATTAGTTACTATCAGCCAAGAATAAAATGTCGATGATTCTTATAACACAACATACTGCATTGCTGTCTTGTTTAGTAACATATGACAATTGTATTTGGCTTTCACAATTTATTAATCTTTATAATTGATATATATTATAGAAGATAAGATGTAACATATTTCAAAATCAAAATACATACATATATGTATATAAAACTATAAAATCTCTTTATATGAAATATTTCTGAAATTCTATATTTCAGATATTTATAAAATATATTTACAACATAAGAATATTTTAGAATATAAGAACATAAGAACAAAACAGCAACTACCATATTAATGGAAATGAGAAGAGAAGCTTTCATGTTTTCTATGTTCTCTTTCATGTAAAATGTGTATGATAAAGATTGTTAGAATAAAAGTAAAAAACAACTTACTTTTCTTGAACATCTTCAAACGCAGAACCAATTCCACAGTCTGGATGCACATCGCAATTATGTACAGCCTGTATATGCACAAATATGCAGATATTAGATATTTTTATTGTTATAAATTGTACTCTTTCATTAACTATTTATACACTATTTAATGAAATTAAGGCCCGATGGCACCAATGTTTTAGCTTTAAGCAAGACTTAAATATATATTAAATATAAATATATATTTATCTTTATCTTTCTTTCTAAATAAATAAAGACAGACATATATTTAAGTTTCGCTTAAAGCTAAAATAACGTTGGTGCAACCGGGCCTTAGTAACTTAACATAAATATTGAATTAATCATTGTAATATTGGAAAAACAATTGTGCTAACAATTTTTTAATTAATAATATGTTGAACAAATTATGATATATAATTATAAGCAGAACAAATATTTATGATAAACTTACTTTGACATTGTTCATGATGTCCATGATATCCCATGCTGGATTACTGTCTACAGATGGTGATATAGAATCTCTGTGTAATGTTCCTCCATCAATATTGATTTGATCTGCAAGATGAATTATAATTATGGTTAAGTTAAAGTGTAAGATGTTCAATTTATTGGTTATTCTTCAATTGCTATTAATGCTTACCATCACTATCCAATTGTGATATGGGACTCTTTGGCCTAGGCCTTGCAGTGTGACGCGAGGCTATTCTTTGCGGAACATTAGGCACCGCTCCATCTTCGTCAGCTTCTAAATCGGCAAACATATGACTTGGATTCGATACCTTTTGCAATAATTCTAACGCCAGTCTTTTATGCATCTCCCCTTGAAAAAACGCGTGCTGTAATATTCAAAATAATTTATTTCAGATTAGCATAGATGCAATTCGATTTTGTATATATTTTTCTTTTTCTTTTGTCATACACAGCATGCAGAGACAAATCATATCTATTAATTATAAAACAAGATTAACCTGAAGCAACTTCTCTGCTGTCGGTCTTTTCTTGGGGTTCTTTGTGAGTGCGACCTTAACGAAATTGTGAAATGTTGGACTCCATTTATCACGGTCCTTCAACGTCGGTGGTTTAAAGCCTGATTTGGACATGAGAAACAGAGCGCGCATCGGATGCAGATCGAACATCGGCGGTTGCAACTCGGCCAATTCTATCGCGGTTATTCCGCATGCCCAAATATCGCATAGTTGATTATAACCACCTTTCCTCTCTACGGCTGCTACCTGCACATTGCAAAAATATTAATTGCGTTGATCTTCAATGTAACTTATAACGCATATTAGATGTTAAAAGAAAATGCAAAAGTACCTCAGGAGCCATCCAGTATGGTGTACCAATAAAACTCTTTCTTTTGTTAATCGTCGCAGTGATCTGTGCTGACACGCCAAAGTCTGCCAATTTTACATCACCCGCTTCAGTCAATAATATATTGGCACCCTTAATATCACGATGCATCTTGCCCATACTATGTAAGTAAGCTAAACCAGTGAGAGTCTCCCGACACATGTACGCTATTTGTATTTCTGATAATGGTCCAGTTACTAGAAGTATATTAAAAATATAATTATATACACATATATTACAACTATTTTAATAAAATATTAATCACAAAAATGTTAATTTATAAATTATTATCAATTTATATTCTTCTTATAAATGTAAAATTTGAATATTATTAATTGTTGAGATTATTAAAGATATATTATTCCATATAATATGTATAAACACTAATAATTAATATTATACATACTATGATATATATCTTGCAACGATCCACCCCCGCAGTATTCCATACATATCCATAATTTGTCTCTCCTTAAATAACTGCCATAATATGCAATAATATTTGGATGCCTACAATCCTTCATCATTAAAATCTCCTGTTGAATAACTGCAAAGTCGTCACCTAAGAGACAAACACAAACACTATAAACTATCCTGCTTTACAATTCCACAACAAAATTTCTAACACAATGTTGATATTTTGAGAACTATTTATATGTAAATTTGTATATCTGAAGAAATGAAACAATTTTGTATATCCTTTTTATTTTTATTCCATATACTTTGCAAGGAATCATAATGGCACTCTATAGAAAAAACATTCCACACCAACGAGAAAAAATCAACAAAGAGTCGCGATAGAAAATTACACGATAACCGTACAATAAACAAAATACTTTGGATTTACCTGGCTCCAACTTGATAACCTTAATTGCCGCGAGGTCGTTCATCGAGAGACGTTTAGCCTGCGAAGAGAATACGATAAATGACGATCCCGTCGTCGTTAAAGGAGTCGAGCTGAGTGAATACATACCTTATAGACATCGCCGTAGGTTCCACTGCCTATTCTCTGGATAAGCTCGTACTCGTCCTGAGGATTCCTACGGCTTATGTCACTGGACAGCGCGTTCGCGTTCACCGTAGCCATCGCAGAAGCAGCGACGAGAAAAACAGGAAAGGGAAGAGAGAAGCGAGACACCTGGTACTGCACGCCGGGACGTGGCTTTCATCCAGCGCGACGTGATGCGCGTCTACCTGCAGCCGGACAACGCAGCGGGAACATTTAGCCCGTTGGGATGTCACACCATCCGTCGAATCGTCGCCATTGTCCACACACAACAGCTGAACCGCTCTGACATTGGCCGCGGATCCGCTCGTGACGTCATAGATTCTCTCGACTAAAGCGGCCTTTTCATTGTCGCTACTTTTTAGCGTCAATGAAATTGCACCTTAACAGTTGGCAGCCCTACGAGATAGGCTGTGCAGCACTGCGCGTATATAAAATAAATTTGAAATCGCTTCTAGCCTAACCATCTTCACGCGATCGACTTTATTTGAATTGCACGGCATCGCATCGAATTATGATGCGGCGCCGATTTGTTCGAACGTAATTCGGGACATCGCGATGCTGTATAAGCGTCGAATGAGCACGAATTATCACGCAAATATGATAAATCACATCTACTCACCGTTCACCGGCTGTTCCACAGGCCGCTCCACTCGCTCGCCTCGGGATGTCCCATTCCGATCTTGATGCACACGATATCATCAACGCGAACGCGCGACACTTTATTCGGCACTCCCGATATTCGCTCGCATCCGATAATCATCATCAAGGGCGCAAATAACGCGACGCGACTTCGCTCCATCTTCGCGATCGCGCTATCATTGAACTGTGAAAAATAGCTGTCGCACACTTTCACCGACATATTATGAAAGTCGCGCGATCATCCTTGGACACTTTCGACGCTCTTTCACTCGCGATATTCGTTTAAAAACGGTTAAAAGACGTGAAAAATGCGGACGTACGACGATCCGTGTAACTGCGTATGACTCCGATTCACGTATGACGCGTATGACGTACTATGACGCGTATGACGTAGCAGTCACGCGCCAACATGGCGGCCGAACCAGTACGCATTCGTTTCTGCGCACTGGTTCGGCCGCCATGTTGGCGCGTGACTGCTACGTCATACGCGTCATAGTACGTCATACGCGTCATACGTGAATCGGAGTCATACGCAGTTACACGGATCGTCGTACGTCCGCATTTTTCACGTCTTTTAACCGTTTTTAAACGAATATCGCGAGTGAAAGAGCGTCGAAAGTGTCCAAGGATGATCGCGCGACTTTCATAATATGCCGGTGAAAGTGCGCGACAGCTATTTTTCACAGTTCAGTGATAGCGCGATCGCGAAGATGGAGCGAAGTCGCGTCGCGTTATTTGCGCCCTTGATGATGATCGGATGCGAGCGAATATCGGGAGTGCCGAATAAAGTGTCGCGCGTTCGCGTTAATGATATCGTGTGAGTTTGTGCGCATAAAGATCGGAATTGGACGTCCCGAGGCGAGCGAGTGGAGCGGCCTGTGGAACAGCCGGTGAACGGTGAGTAGATGTGATTTATCATATTTGCGTGACAATTCGTGCTCATTCGACGCTTATACAGCATCGCGATGTCCCGAATTACGTTCGAACAAATCGGCGCCGCATCATAATTCGATGCGATGCCGTGCAATTCAAATAAAGTCGATCGCGTGAAGATGATTAGGCTAGAAGCGATTTCAAATTTATTTTATATAAGCGCAGTACTGCACAGCCTATCTCGTAGGGCTGCCAACTGTTAAGGTGCAATTTCATTGACGCTAAAAAGTAGCGTCAATGAAAAGGCCGCTTTACACACTGAAAAAGTTGAAACTGTTTGAACTTTATTTTATTGACGCCATACTAGAGAAAGTCTAGTGATTTTAATTTGCCGCTGGTTTCTAGCGTCAATGAAATTGCACCTTAACAAACACGAAGCACGAATAACCTAGACCGGGACCAGACTTTCTCATATTATAGCGTTTTCCACTGACAGAACTGGTTAGTTGATTAGTTAAAAGTTAAAAGGAAAACGCTATTAGAAATTAGAATCTCTGAACATCGTCCAATTGATCGAGATTCTTCTCGAAAATAGCGGAATTTTTATTTGAAAATTATTATACGAAATATGAAACAACCGATAAATATAATAAAAGCGTTCGAAAATTTACTCGTCGAGTAAACATAACGTCTGATTGATTAATCAGGATAATCTTTGCTCTTTTTTTTTGTCCAGGTGATTCATGACAGGTAGATTTTCGAACTCAACCATGAACGTTCGGGTCGTCATTGTCGTCAGTCGTCAGTGGGTTAATTCGAACGAGGTTAAGTCATCGACTCCGAATCTTATAGTTAAAGAATAATTTGTTTATGTTTATCAAACAATTATGTCTGTTTTCGCACGTTATTTACATTTTCGACGTCTCGGGATTGTTATAAGTAACAATACTGCAGCTTTGTTTTCGGATATTACACAATGTTCGGTAAGTTCGAAGTGAGAATAAGCAAAGAAATTTCATTGACTTAAATTGTTAAGTTATTAATTCAATTTGGTTCTTTTTTATTTCATTTATATTTATATTAATTATTTCGTGATTGTGTTAAATTATTTTATAATTGCAGAATTATATGCAACATATTAAATTGCGATCAGATACAACAAATATTGATGAAATCGACGATATATTTAAGTCTGAAGAAGTGAAGAAACCAGTGAAAAAGATGAGCAAAGCTATGATAACGTACTTGCAACGTGCAAAAGATCATGGTATGATCATAATACCTATTTTTTTTTATTAGCATTTTATATAATTCTTTAATAATATTAATATTTTTTATATAAAAGATATTGTATACAATCTTTTATTTGCATTTATCAGATGAATTTATGAAGAAAGAGATTGCTGAATATCAAATAGGAAAACGACATCTAGCTAATATGATGGGTGAAGATCCGGATTGCTTTACACAAGCAGATATAGATGTATGTGATTGTAAAAGGCTAGTTGGGGATAGTTAATGAAAATACCTAAGTACTCATATAATCATTACTTTTAGAGAGCAATTGAATATTTATTTCCATCGGGATTATATGATCAAAAAGCTCGACCAATGATGCGACATCCAGAAGAGATTTTTCCAGACAGGAAAGCAGCAGAATTTGATAACTCTGGAAGACCTTTTCATTCTCTATTTTATACCTCTAAACCAAATTATTATGAAACGTTATATGTAAGTTCCTACAGTAACTTTCACAAAAATACAAAACAAGAGAGTAATAATACTTAAAATAATTATTTTTACAAACAGAATATTATGGAGAAAATCAAATCTCTGAATAATATTGAAGACTCATTAATAAAACAAGGAACATTACCTATGGATAAAATGTACGTTAAATATTAATGAAATATTAATGAAACATATATTAAATGAATATGTACAATTGGTATATAATTTTAGAAATGTTATTCTACAAGCATATACAATTATTTTTCAAGATCGTACTATATTTTTATTAGTTATATTATTATTATTTTTAGTAAACTGGTAGGTTCTACATGGTTATCAAAAAAGAACATTGAGGACCAACTACTTGAAACTCTTCTAGATATAGAGGTGAATAATAATAATATTAATAATGCTAAAATCGGTGAATAATAATATTACTGATAAATTTTTTTATAAAGAGATGTTTATTACAAGAAACATGATTTAATTCATAAGGGTAATAATTTTTTTCAGTACAATTATCTTGTAACATCACTAGAGCGATTATGTAATCACCCACTATCAAGGCATGCAACAGATTATATTATGAAATATCGTAAAGTACTTATTCGCCATTCCCAAGAGATAACTATGCCACCTGTAAGTTATATATAATTACAAGGAAAAATATAATTATGATTAATACAGAAGTTTATTTTTATATGTACAGTTGGAACATGACAGCACAGGAAGGCCATACATTAAAGTCACAAGTAAATAAATAATTTTAACTTTAGCAAATGATTAGAAAATAAAATATATATAATGATTAGGAAATAAAATATATATCATTAATTATATATATCATCTTTATAATTTTAGATTGCATGAGAAAGTCTGCAAGAGGTGAAGTGACAGTCTGGGGTAATGGCTCTGGTATTATCACTATTAATGGACACGATATCACATATTTTGAAGAGATGTATCACCGTGAACAGGTGAGTTTTGTTTAACGATTCTAACGATTTTTAAATATGTTTCTAATATATATATTTCGAAAATCATACGTTAGATTTAGATTTTATTATTAGAAGAAAATTTTAGATTTTTGCAATAAATTGCATATAAATTTTACATATTATTAAATATTATTACATATTATTAAATATTATACATAATTACAGTTAAAATATATATAATTAGAATCTTGAATTGAAATTTTCTACTATAAAATTTGTCTAAGAAAATGACTTAAGATTGTCTTATTGTTTATATGCTTAGAACTAAATCTTTTTTATTTTAATATATTTATTTTAAATATTTTTGACCTAATCTTTGTCAAAAAAGTGTCGTTATTATATTCGTTAAAAAATATTCTGAGTTTTCGCCGCTTGTTGAAAGAAAAAAGCGATATGTTATCATACATATTTGATACATGATAAAAAATTAATCAAAATAATATAAATCTGTATGATGATATTTTCTGAAAAGGAATTAAGATATTTAAAATATGTTATTTTTATTCAACAAATATATATGTGTTGTGTGTGTGTGTATGTGATAAAAGATTTACTTTACAATCCAATTTGCATGTTCTATGACTGCATATGTATATTCTAATTTTTTATAGATTAACAATATGGTTAACATAGCACTTACAAAATACAGAAAAATTAGACTATTACTTAAATATACGCTTTGATTAAATGTAAAATAAAGTGACATTAAATCTTAAGCAATCGCTCTTACGAAGATATCTATAATAATAATATTTATCAAAAAAATATTAGGTTTCTTCATTATTTTAATGATAAAACTATTACTTTACATTATATTCTGCATTATATTTCCTGCAGAACGTAGTTATCTTCGACGTTGTCGAACAATTAAAAAGATCCTTTTTAATCAAAATGATAAAATAACTTTTCAGAAATCGGAAATACTAAAATCTCTTATATAAATGTTATGTTTATTATGCCATAAAGTGATTAAATAACTATGTTAATTATCAAGATAGCGCCTAATAATGAAATTATAAAGTATTATATGAGAGAAAGTATTATATATGCTACTAGTTAGCTTTTAATATTCAAGTCAGAGAAATTATATAAACAAACTTCTCTTATGTCATTAAGTTTATTGAACTCGAAAAATTTGATTAAAATTCTTTAAAAATTCCTTTTACTTCATCAAGGCAACTGAAGTCTTCCCATTTATGAAACTTTTTAATTTTTTTGGCTTATATTTAATTAAAAAATTGATAATCATATTTCAACTTTCGCTCTCAATGGTATGTTTTTCCTGACTTTCAAGGACTTTAGTGTCACCTCCTCTTTTAAATTTTAAATTCATCACGTCGCAAATTTGCATTGTGATGAATCCAAATTTTAACTACAACAGGGAATTATTACTCCTCTGCTCACTGCTGAAGATGAATATATATATATATATATATATATATATATTATATATATATATATATATATATAAATATTTGTGCATCTGTCTGCAATATTTATTACGTCGAATTTCAAGAGATTCTGAAGATTAAAAACTTACAACACAACACAAAGTACTAAAAGTTATAATAAATTTGATTAAAGCAAAGGAGAAAAAATCCGTACTTGTCTCTGGAATTGGAAAAATCATGGATTTGAAGACAGTCGATGCGGAAGAGAATCTTTTATTACGCGATATTCTTCCCCGATATCACTAAGAATGCGAAACGCGAAAAATATGTGACGTTCTTCGAGAGGAAGATGACCTTCTCTGCTCATCTTTGATAGCCAGTCGGTATCGAAAACATGTAACATCCAAGCCAGTATAACCGGTATGATGGAGCCAGAAGCTTATCCTGTACGCTCTTTCGCTCTCATTGTCAGTATTAATCAGTCTGGCGATAGAACGAGGTGATGCGATCGAAACGATCATCAATTCTCGGCGTCGAGTTCTGTTTTGTGCAAGGTAAATTGTCTCACTTATCGAACAATATCTCCGTCTTGATGACAATTGTCTAGGACAATTCGCGATAAGAGCCGCAATATTAAATCCAAGATATATCATTGAAAATAATTTACCTTTTATTCGAAGGGCATAATATCAAAATATTTACCTCCATGTAATTGAAGGTTCTATTTATTTTTTGCGTATATAAAATTCATCCTATTCAGAAATTTATATTTTTATTTCTCTTTATAATATATATAATATATATATATAGTTTCATAAATATTTGATTTTTATTTTGTGATTTCCATCATAATTTCAACATTTTTTTATTTTCAATTTTTATCCTAAGACAAATACAAATCGAATATAAATAAAATCAAATATTTATGAAACTATATATATATATATATATATATATATATATATATATATAAAGAGAAATAAAATAATTATCTTTGAATATTTTGAAATTATTTAGTATTTTACTCACCTCTATATACAAACCTATATTTATTTTTAATTATGTAAAGTTTTTTTAATTATGAGTAAGATGCTACGTAATATAATATTTATTGCTTCTTATCAAATCCGTAAGCTTTCTATATTTTTTCCCTATCTTTGTAGTACATATGTGAATCGGTATGTTAATATTATTATTCGTATCAATATGTTATCGAGAAAGAGAAATATCGCTTTTATTAATTTTTTATAAATATCATTAACTAACTCGAAGCAAATTGTAGAGAGAGAGAATTTTTCTTTTAATTATTTAACAATTTTTCCAATTTTTGCGCGATGTGCTTTGCATTAGATTCAGATGTTATGCCCTTACAGTATTTTTGTCAAAACGAGAAATGTATAATACGGAATGTATAATACGGAACGTGTCATGTCTCACTATAATATATCAAAGTTGTAAAAAACGCTTTCAAATACTACATCAAAATTAAATTTATATTAATACACACAATTGTGTGCAGCTTTAGAATACATTGGTTGATTTTCATTTTATATTAAATATATTTTTTATGTAATATTCATATAATTTTAACATTAAACATATCTCAGTCTTGCTTTATACATCGATTAATTTGAGAAATTAGAAATATTGTCCATATATATATTTCTGATGTGATAGTTTGAAATTTTAATTTATGTAAGATGTTTTAATTATGTGGACATAAGATCGTGATAGAGAGGGCGGGAATTGATACAATTTATCAGAATCTAATTCTCTAGTCCAGTGTTGTCAATTATTTGCACCTTTCGGCCGGATTTCTTAGCTCATGCCTACCGCTCTCTAACAAAAAATTATATAAAAAATAATATATAAAAAGTTATATAAATAAATTATATAAATAATAATAATAAAATTATATAACAAATATATAAAAAATTACATAAATTATATAAATAATAATAGTAAAATTATATAAAATATAATAAATGTTCCCTTATTGTGTTGTTTATATAAAAAATTATATAAATAACACAATAAGGGGACAATAGGTTTCCACATCACCCATGAGGTACTATTGTTGATGCATTTTTTTTAAGTGGTTTCCCCAGTAGGCCTATTCCACTAGAGATGACAAATAATGATTCCCGTGGGAAGGAAAATTTTATAGAAATTAATATACGAAGCTAATAAGAAAGTAATATACAAAGTTAATAATATAAAAGCATAGAATGTTAGATGAGCATAGAATTTAGAAATATTAGATAGCAGAAATATTAATTTTATTTTTTAAGCCGTTTACAAGAATTTACGAAAGACAAAATATCGACGGGATTATTAGAAGAACTAGTACGTATTAGCGAAGATAAAGATGCATCACTTAAGCAAGAATGTTTATCAGTTTTTATATATTTTCGAAAAGGAGCATTCGCAAAATGTATATATGTAAATATGTGGAGCCAAACATTGAAAAAATTCGAAGACCAAAATTTATAAGTTTTGGATAATTCGATATATCTAAAATTTTAAAAAGGTCTATCCCTCTTTCTGACCGCGTTTTGATTACGCGGCGAGTTCCGCACAATTGACCAATTTATTAAAAATAAGAGAATATCGCTTATCAGTAATACTCGCGATACTCGACACGCAATCAATTTCTTGTGAAATTTGCGTGTGCAATCCTTTGCATTATTAAAGAGTGTTTCTTGCGTATCTTTTCACCTATTTTCACATTTAATTTTATTAAACGTGAAGGATGGCTGGTGAACAGAGGTACGTACAACATTATGATAAAGTGTGGGAAGATAGTTTCTTTGCATGCATTTCCAATAAAACGATTTGTCTATTGTGCGAATAGGAACCATCTATTGTAAAAAAATTTGTTATTGATAAACATTATAAGGGAAAACATTTCGAGGAGTATTCAAAATATGTGGGCCAAGAAAAACTTAATCTGGTAGAAAGATTAAAATTAGTACATAGAGAAAATTGTATTATAAATTTCGACGCGGATAACGCTACATCTTCTGCAAAAGCAATTATTGCTTCATATTCTATATCGCACCTTATCGCTAAAAATTCCAAATCATTTACCGAGGATGAATTTGTAAAAGAATGCCTTATCGAGGCTGTAAAATCATTCGAAAATTCTTTAACATTAACAGAAGCTTCTAGTATTCCATTAGAAATACAATGGTATCGAGAATCACTCATATCGCGTCTTCCATAGAAGAGAAATTGAAATGTTTATTGTCAACGTGCTCATATTTCTCATTATGTCTCGATGAAAGCACCGACACGTGAGTCAATTGAGTATTTTTGCTCGAATCATACAAAATTCGATTTCTCATGTGTCGAGGAGCTATTAGATTTCGTACCATTGCATGACACAACAACCAGTATAGACATTTTCAGAGCCGTTGAACAAACACTTAAAAAATTTAATATCGATTTTTTCCTGTCATTCACTGTATCATATACCAAGAAGCATTATGCGGAAAAGCAGTTAAATTATGCAAATTATATCCAAAATTGTTAATGCAATTAAAGGCGGTAATAGATCTCTTAATCGTCGAAAATTCCAATCCTTCCTTGAGGAACATAATGCCATTTATAAAGATATGCCCTTATTTAAAGATATAGATTTTCTTTCCGAACTAGCTTTTATTATCTATTTAACTTCTCATTTAAATAATGTAAATCTGAAGCTGCAAAGTCAAACTAGACAATTTCTCAATTAATAAGTCATATTGACTCATTCCGTAGAAAATTAGTGTTATTAAAAACTCACAAAACGATATCTTTTATTTTTATCCATCTTGCCAAATTCTCTTTACAGAATATGACAAAGATTGTAATTTTAAGACACATCTCCATTTAATCGAGTCATTAATAATTCAATTTGATACGCGTTTCAGTGATTTCGAAACACTTAAAAATATCTAATTCTTTTTGAAAATCCTTTTACAGTTATAGTTGAAGAACAGAATCTAGAGTTTCAAGAAGAATTTTACGATTTGCAAAGTGATTTAACTCTTAAAACGCGGTCAGAAATAGGGATAGACCTTTTTAAAATTTTAGATATATCGAATTATCCAAAACTTATAAATTTTGGTCTTCGAATTTTTTCGATGTTTGGCTCCACATATTTACATATATACATTTTGCGAATGCTCCTTTTCGAAATTAAAATATATAAAACTGATCAACGTTCTTGCTTAAGTAATGCATCTTTATTTTCGCTAATGCGTACTAGTTCTTCTAATATTCCCGTCGATATTTTGTCTCAAATTCTTGTAAATTCTTGTAAACGGCTTAAAAAATGAAATTAATATTTCTGCTATCTAATATTTCTAAATTCAATGCTCATCTAACATTCTATGCTTTTATATTATTAACTTTGTATATTACTTTCTTATTAGCTTCGTATATTAATTTCTATAAAATTTCCCTTTCCACGAGAATCATTATTTGTCATCTCTAGTGGAATAGGCGTACTGGGGAAACCACTTAAAAAAAAAACGCATCAACAATAATACCTTATGGGTGATGTGAAAACCTATTGTCCTCTTATTGTGTTATTTATATAATTTTTTATATAAATAACACAATAAGGGAACATATATTATATTTTATATAATTTTATTATTATTATTTATATAATTTATTTATGTAATTTTTTTATATATTATTTTTTATATAATTTTATTATTATTATTTATATAATTTTTTTATATAATTTTTTATATAATTTTATTATTATTATTTATATAATTTATTTATATAATTTTTTGTTATTAGATTGCCACCTTACATTTGTGACGCGCACGTGCCTGAGGTTACCGCCGCACTCCTTAGTTAAGGCCTTTACACGTACAAAAATTTTGCACTGCTCTAGTCGAAACACCGGTTATACTTCTCTTATCAAGCACTTTGACTTTGTCAAATAGATGTATCACGTTTATAGGTAACTGAATGTAATACGGCAATAGGCGAAGATGGTGGATAACATCAAATTCAAATCCTTTTCGGAGAAAGGCACGGAGGAAAATAATGATGAACGGGCTTCAAGAACCGCCCCGTCTTTATTGACTCGTACAAGTACGGCTTCCTTGTTCCTGACTCGGTTAAAGAACAAACGTTTCTCGTCCAAACAAGACAGCTATGAACTCGAGAGTGGTCGCACTCAGTGTAATTCTCCATTATCTCTCGATAGTCCGATAACTCCTGCATCTCACATGGATTACTCTTTCATCAGCGAACGTCCCTATTCCGAGGAGATCAATCGCACTTGCTTGCGCATCAATGAAGACTTTATAGGCAACGTCCTGACGGAGCATAAGAAGCGTATATGTTGCAAATCGCAGTTTTGGGAAAACCTGGAATTAACTGCGACGAACGATATGCTAACCGAGACGGTTCTCCCAGCCCCCAAGTCGAATGAGATCAACGTGTTGTTACTGCAGGCCAGTTTCATGGGTCGTACTGATATTATTTGCCATTTGTGCCAGCACGGCGCCAATATTAATTACACCGAGCCCGAGCACGGTCTTACCCCGTTGCATCTATGCGCGTTTCGAAACTGTCTGGACGGTGTCAAGTATCTGATAGAAGAGGGCGCGAAGTTCGATACTAGTATGAAGCACACACCGTTTCATTATGCCGCCTTTGGCGATGCGTTCGACGTCGCCCAGTATTTGGTGCAGCATGGTATCAGTCCAGAATCGTCAGACGATGCCGAAGAGACGGTGCTACATGCGGCAGCACGTACAAATGCTTTACGCGTGCTAACTCTATTGGCGCCGAACAGTAATGAACTGAATCGCCTGGATCAGGACGGATATGCCGCTATTCATCACGCGGCCGACCGGGGCGACCCGACTTGTTTAGATGTACTTCTTAAGGCTGGCTGTCAGGTAGATTTGCCTACCGCCAAGAAGAACACTGCTCTGCATTTGGCCGCAGAAGCCGGCTACCCGGACAATCTAATTCTTCTGATCGAAGCGAAGGCTGATCTTCAACTGAAAAATCATCGAGGATATACAGCGTTGCACTTGGCGGCTCGCTCACATTCTCTAGAATGTGTGGAAATACTGTTGAAAGGTCACGCGGATCCCAACGCAGAGGACGACGAAGGTCGGACACCACTGCATCTGGCTTTGGGCAAATCCCTAATGACCGAGGAGATCACCGAGCTCTTGCTAAAGTGGCGAGCGAATGTGAACAAGGCTGACAAGTACGGTTACACGCCATTGCACATTGCCGCCTCCAACGAACTGTCACAATGCGTCAACATGCTGATAAAGCACGAGGCGGACCTCAGTGCGAGAACCATTGGCGGTAACAGCGCCCTGTCCATTGTGTTGCGGAAGACTCCGACTTCCCTTGACGTATTTGAGCGTAGACTAGATGCGTCTCTGACTTTAAACCGGCAAGGATTTGCGGGCGAACTCGAACTACAATTGGACTTTCATCCACTGTTGCAGCATCGACGAAATCGACATAGCCGTTTGCCTGAAATCGGCTACCTGAACGCTTTCGTAAAGGAAGGTTACAAGGAGATCTTAGAACATCCACTATGCCAGTCTTTTCTTCACCTCAAATGGCATAAGATTCGAAAATATTACGCCGCTCGATTGCTCTTCTATCTAATATACGTGCTGATATTTACGAGCTGGGTGATAACCGCTCTAGCTCACGACTGTTATAACGCATCTACGGTGAACTGTACGAATATTAATGAAAACTTTACAAATATTCAAAATAAAACGTGCACGAACTGCAGCTACACTTTTCCCAAACAAACAGAGTTACTCGAAAGTATGTGGTACGTGTTGGCAATACTCAGTATATTGGAAGCCTTCCGCAAAGTGAGTGTCATTCCTAGTTATCAATCCGTCAGACAGTTTTTGCAAATCGAAAATCTGGTTGAATGGTTTGTGATAGTCAGCGTGTTCGCCACATCATTCCTCTATAAAAAAGAAACGTTCGAGTGGCAGAATTATCTGGGTGCCTTTGCTGTGCTCTGCGGTTGGAGCAATCTAATGCTAATGATCGGGCAGTTACCGGTATTCGGCGCATATGTCGCTATGTTTACTAGTGTTCAGGCACAAGTATTTAAACTGCTCCTAGCCTACGCCTGTCTGCTGGTAGGCTTCACGGCGAGCTTCTGTGTAATATTTCCTCGTACCCAGTCGTTCAAGAGCCCACACATTGGTCTCACGAAAGTCCTCGTGATGATGACCGGCGAGTTAAACTTCGAAGATTTCTTCTTCGGATCTACCAAACGCTACGACAAATTCGAAGAATCATTCGGCTTGGGACAAATCACAGTCCAACTTCTTTTCGTATTATTCCTCCTGTTTGTGACGATCGTGCTAATGAATCTATTGATCGGCATAGCTGTGCATGATATCAAAGGCCTGCAAAAAACGGCCGGTCTTGCAAAACTTGTTCGTCAGACAAAATTGATTCATGACGTGGAGGTGGCAATTTTTCTAGGATTTACGCCATCGAAACGCTTTGTCAAGTTCTTCCGATGGACCACATTGCTCTTACCATCACCTTTACGTGCCGTCCTGACTGTTCGTCCGTTAAACCCCAGGGAGAAGAGATTACCGCGCGATGTTCTCTCGGCCTCTTACAAGATCGCCAAGGAAGGAGACGGTCAGAACAATTTCTCCGCGATACGCAAGAAAAGTTATTTTGCAAAAGCGTATTTTAAAAGTGATATGAACGCGTGTCGTCGTCGTGGTATCGATGAGGATATGCTGATACAGGATTGCAATAAATTCAAGGATGATATCGCGGAACTCAGAGAAATTTGCGAGAAAAATCATACTCTCCTTCGAGAACTTGTAAAAATGAAGGGTATAAATAAATAAAATTGTCGATAAAATTATATTCTAAAATATTTTCCAAATGAATATTCCGCTTCAAGTTTCCGCTTTGAAATTTGGGATTCGAGAATGAATACACGATGAATAATTAAAATATCGCAGAATTGATATTTTTATGATATTTTTATGCGTTTTATATCTTCCAGAAAATACTTATCAATCTTGTTGTCTTATTTCTGATATAAATGTGATCGTGTGTCCATTATCAACCGTATTAATTTCATCCTTATATATGAATTTTATATTTAAAGAAACACTATTTGCATAATAAATACAAATAAATTACTTTGTTTTTACGCAATAATTATAAAAGATATTTCCTCATAAGAGAGAAAAGAATTCTATTCCACTTTTCTAAAATACATGTATTTTCAAATATTTAGTATGTATTTGGTACTTCTAATCTACAAAAAAACGTAGATTTCATGACGCGAATACTAACATGTGTATATTGATGAGACCTTAGAGAAAACCTTAGAGAAAACAGGACAATTTACGTTATTCTAAACATTCCTCCACATGTGCAGGTTTTTATAAGATGTTCGATTCGTCAGAAAAAATTCTTTATTTCTGAATTCAATATCTATATATAATTAACCGGCCCAGTATATTATTTTGAAACCGGTATGATTTAATTTTTGTGGCTGTACATCTGTTTTTTACATATTTTTAACATATTTCAATATTAATTGTCTTTTTTTATTTATTTTTCTTTCTATATATTATTGTCATATTGTCATATAATTATTATTATATAATTATATTCTTCAGTAGAGAAAGTTTTAAAATTGCAATTTTAGCACAAATCTAAATAAAAATAGTATATACGGGCTATTGTTGCGTATTTTCCATCAAGATTTATTACACGAGTTAAACTTGTATTGATTAAATTTAATAAGAAAGCCTCAAATCTCTCGATAGTCAAGTTCTTTAAGATTTTCGATCAGATTCGAAGAATACATGTATGATGCTAACGGTACGCGTAGACTGTCAAAAAACCGGTTCTGTTATGCATAAATTCTCTCGTTCAATCTCAACTTTCGAAATAGGAAACCTGACAACGAGATAAAACGAGGACATTGAATTATAGATTCATCTTTTGAAGAAGAATGTAGAGGCTGAAGTTTAAAAACGTATTGAACTTTGTACTTTGAATCCACGTTATTTTCCATGCTGTATCTGTCGAATTTATTCATCATATAATTGATTATCTTTTAATTCTCAAAGTTTGCTGACTAGAAAAAAAGTTGTAAAAAATTTATTACATATTTTATTGCGTCGTGAGATTGAAGGATTCTCTTGTCGGCTTTAATAAAATTATCGCGATGTAAAACTATTTCGTGTCTTGAATTTGAAAAAAATGTTATTTTTATTAAAACAAATACTAATACGAAATATACATATTTCATGCTCAGTGATTTCGTATATCAATTTCGAAAATATCTTGGCAGAGATTTTGCAAATATACTCAAAATGAATACAAAATTAAAAATTATGTAAATCAGTCATATATTCGCGATCATGCGGTGAAAGACCTTCAACTAGATATATACGCAGTTCAGATTCGAGAAATTATAAAAAAACTCGGCGCTTTGCAAGAGAGAGAGAGAAAAAAAAGGAGAAAAGAAAAAAAGAATACAAAATGTTTCCTGCAAAAAAGAATTGAATAAAGAAGATATTGAACAACCGATTAAACGGAAGCGGGAATAATGCAAATGATGATTGATTTATTGCTGGATTTTCAAAATATTCAATTATATTGAATGAAGAATGAGCCATTTAAATTTTATGAGCTATTTAAAACTATTGTGGTTTTGCCACACAATGATTAATGTATTTAGCGAATTCAATTTATGTACCATAGACACTTTTCATAAAGATATCATAGTCTTCTTATCTTATACATTTAGCCTTCATTCTCATTGATTTTCAACAAGAAAAATAATTTTATCATTACATTATGATTAAGAACGCAAATATCTGCATCTAAGAGAATATTTTCTCTTAATTATCTTATTTATCTTAACGATAACAGATGTAAATAATAATGTTAAAAAATCTAACGCTACAGAATGAAAGTCAAACGACTTTCCAATGATTTTTTCCAGCATTATCTAGATCCGGAATTTAGGACAGTTTAATCATGTGTGCACAAGAAATAAATCTCGATATCAACCTACATTTCTCTTTATATTTATATATTTTATCCGTAGCGCTTCTACCTCCCTGTTCGCGAATTCTTCACGCACAATCGACCAACCGACAGATATGTACGCAGAGTAAAATGCGTTGTGCAGTACGTGTAGTGCAATCATACAAACCAGTCAAGTCCGTGTGTAATACTAGCGAAATCGTCGAACGTGCAACGATAGAGATAACTCGAGAATGACAGACATTTCAAGTGGACATACATATCTCTTTCATGTTAGGACATGTACCTGAAATCCTTCTAGACGCCCGTCTTTGCATTTTAAGTGGATTTAAATTTTCTCGGTCAGTTTTTAGACTCTTATAAATACGGGTTTCCAAAAGCGGGAGCGTTAAAGTAGCAACTATATATGAAGCCGATAATAAGAGAAGAGAGGAGAATATAATATTTGTGAAAGACAATTGATTGACAATTGAATTTTTATCATTTGAAGAGTCTTGACACGTTAAAATGCAGTGAATATTTTTTTTATATAATACATTTAAAATTAGTCGATTCTGTTGAACCTTCAGTAAACGAAAAATTATTAACTAAATATTAACTAAATATTAACTAAATATTATATACTACTAATACAAACAAGAGGAAAGATTGCTTATATAATATAATCGCGAAAATTAAACATGTGAATACAATATATTATTTCGTTAATGAAAAGATATGTATTCTCGCGAGCAGGGAAAAATATATCAGCAACAATAGGAACTTAAAAAAAAAATAATTTTATCCGCGAAATATTATTAAGTAATCCAGGTGAAGTCATGATTAAATCGGTGCAGCTCAAATGAATAATTGAAATGCCTCTTTGCGCGAATCATCGATATTAATTGGTGCTCGATTATGGATGCTTACGTCGGAAACTAAATATAATACTGGTAACTGAAATAATTCTGACACGTGGAATAACAGAGATGACAGGACTATTATAATTACAAATGAATGAGATAAGATACGAAATCTTTGTCCGCGAGAATGTGGAAATAGCTGAAATAACAGGAAAATACCAATTGTAAAAATACCAACGATCAAGTCACTAGATCGCGAATGATTCAAATAAAAAAGAATAAAGAAAAAGATCGAATAAAAAAATACATATCCTCGAACTTGGCTCGAAAAAATAGGGGAGAAGCGAAATATATAATTTTAATTTTTCGGCAAAATTATCCTCGATCATAAATAAATCTTGATTCGCGCCAGGATGCACAAAAATGAGCGAGATTCGGTGGAAGAAGCAAAAAACACGAACGACCTCAAGACGAACACTTTGAGATTGCCGATTATTCTCGACGAGGGTAGACAACGTCTCTATTCCAGCTTCAACAATCATCGCAAGGATGATTCGCTCTCTGTGAGATTGGCTTCCACCTACAGATCCTTGAGATGCGCGTATTCGCCGGAGGATTGTTCGCAAAAGATCACGATCGATGGCGTAAGGTCGGCATCAGAGTCCGATAGCAAGCAGATCGAGATCGATGCCGGTGTGCCGCCGCCAGCCGACGAGTCCCTCTTCTTCGATAATCTGGAATGTTGTAAGAATCACTATGTGAACGGTACAAAATTAAGATCGGCGATATGGTCTATCGTCGATCCGACAGAGACTAGACTATTATTCGACATGGAGAAAAATCGTGCTCTGCCAGACGCGTGCAAGAGCGAACGATTACGGAACGTCGCTTACGTTTGGGCATCCTATCGCGGTTTGCTGCATCTTCTGCCGGAGCTGGAGAACGCTGGCGCGCATTACGACTACGTAGAGTCGCGTACTGGCATGAATGCCATCCTGGCCGCATCGCTGGGCAACAGAGTCGATTGCGTGGAATATTTGATAAAGAGAGGCGCCGACGTCAACTACGAGAGTTTCATCACCCATTTCACGCCGCTTCATTTCGCGGCGCTCGGCAACAACTGGCAAGTCGCGACCACGTTGCTAAACAACGGCGCCAAGCTCAATTACATCTGTCAGGAGGTGATCGAGCCAGTTCTCCACAGTGCTGTACGCGCGAAAGCGGTGGAAACGGTGCGATTGCTTCTCGAACACGGAGCCAGCGTCGTTGAGAAGAATCATCTGGGTCAGACGCCGTTACACGTGGCCTGCTTCGTACAGTCGATACCATGCGTTGAGCTACTGTTGTCATCAATGCCGACCAGCGTCAACGCTGTGGATAGGGAGCATAGGACGCCATTACACTTCGCCGTGATGAGTACCGATTCTTCCATCGAATTGGTGCAGCTGTTGCTGAAACACGGCGTTCTTGTAAACGCGGCCGACCGGACCGGCTTTACTCCTCTTCACATCGCTGCATTAAACGAGCAATCACGATGCGTCGACGCACTTATCTGGGCGGGCGCTGACATCAGCGCAACCACGTGCACCGGACTGTCTGCTCTGAACGTCGTGCTGAAGAAGATTCCCGAGTCGGTGCATGTGTTCCGTCAACGATTGGATGCCTCGATCAGACTGACTCGACCGGTGTCGCATAATCGTGAGTTCGAGATGCGACTGCACTTTGACATTCTCTTTCCTAGCAACAGTAAGTGCGAAACAAGCTTCATAAATACTTTCGTGCAGGAGCATCGGAAGGATCTTCTATCGCATCCATTGGTTATGGCTTTTCTACATCTCAAGTGGGAGAAGATACGTAAACTCTATCTGCTGCGCATATTTCTATATGCCATGACAGTGATATGCATGACTACTTACGTGCTGACCGCTTTAGCGTACAAATGTTATAATCACGAAGTCACCACCGACAGTCCGAAGATATGCGATAGCAAACGAGCGGTTGATTTCCTTTTCCGCAAACCGTTCATCGAAATTCAATGGTATCTCGCGCTAGTACTGACGTGCATCACCATACCAAGGAAAATATTCGGCTTCATGGTCTATAAGTCAGCCTTACAATACTTCATCAATATCGACAATATCCTGGATGGCGTGGTGATTATAAGCGTGTTTGTCACGTCCTTTATTTATACGGGACGTACCTACGATTGGCAGAATTACGTCGGCGCGTTCGCTATACTTTGTGCCTGGACCAACCTGATGCTGATGGTGGGCCAATTACCAGCCTTCGGCACCTACGTTGCCATGTTCACGCACATCCAATTTGAATTCGCCAAGCTGTTGCTAGCATACTCCGGGCTACTGATCGGCTTTACCATCAGTTTCTGTGTAATATTCGCGGGCGACCCCGCTTTTGGTAATCCTTTTACTGGTCTGATCAAGGTTCTGGCAATGATGGCCGGCGAACTGGATTTTGAGGGTCTCATCAATCAAGCGGACAGTTCATCGACGACAGGCGGTTCCTTCATCATTTATCATCCTTTATCAGTGTGCTCGCAAATCCTTTTCACATTGTTTATAGTGTTCGTTACTGTGATTCTGATGAATTTATTAGTCGGTATCGCCGTGCACGATATACAGGGTCTAAGGAATCATGCTGGACTTACGAAACTGGTGAGGCAAACGAAGATGATTCTTTTCACAGAGATGGTCCTGCATAACACTACAATTCCGTACGCTTTCCGCAAGTGGCTGTCGGATCATAAGATCGACGTTGAAAACAGGAAACATGTACTCGTGGTGAAACCGCTTAATCCGCTCGAGAAGCGACTACCCAAAGATATAATGAAGGCCGCTTATGAAATAGCGCAGAAAAATATCCCCTTGGCGAACGACGACGTCAATCTGAACGATCACGCTGCTTGGTTGAAGCAGCGGCAAAACAACGAGGTCTCCGATGCCGTTTTACAAACGACGATTGAAAAACTGATCACTGCGATGAAAGTGAATGAAGATGCTGTAAAATTGTTAAGAGTGCAATTATTAGAGATGAATAAGATGCTGGAAACTATCGTAGCAACATTAGCAAAGGAACAATATCCCTCGTTGTAAATCGGATGATTTGATTCCGGTACGATCCGATATGCTCGATGATGCATTAATTTTATAATTCATCTTTTATAGATAGTTATTCCTGAATTATTTTACCATCCATTATTAATATTTTTTTTTTCATTATTTCTCTTCATATTTCCTTTTCTTTGTAATAGATGTATCTGTTCTTGTGACTGATAATTCTGAAATACTATTACATGTGATTGAAAAAATTTTCAAGAAGACTTGAATTTAAATAAATTATCTCTAATGTTCCTTACATTTTATTTGTTACAGATTATATTTCCATTAATGTTTACAAATATGAGCAATAAAGTAGACATCGAGGCTACAATTAAGGGTGGAGGGCCTACTGGACAGTGTGGCGTTGTACGTTGGGGTATCGCATGGGGCTTACGCAGCTTTGTAGACAAATCGTTGATCGAAAAAATGCGAGTTGGTAAGGAACAATCGATACGTGAAATCATGTGCAAATATTTTAATGTATAATGTATATTTGCTTAATATTGTACCTTCTGAAACTATTATTATGAATTAAATTTATATTAGATAATAGAAAATTATATTTATTTTTGAATAGCTGGACTTTTAACGAGAGATTGGAGAAGGCGCGAAAGGAAGAAGTGGGGTCAGGAAGGTGCCAGGAGAAAGTTTACTTGGAACAAACGTTAATTTACTTATTCTAATGTGATATAATAAATTTCATTGCTGTTATACAATAAAATCGTATACAGAAATTATCTCGAAAAATATTACATACTTTGTCTAAAAAAAAGTTACCCTGTGCGTATATTTTGCAATATATAATTTTCACAATGACAACAAGTTTAAAAACAATGCATTGTGTTTTAACTCACCATCTTTTCATTGTGTTACATTTCCTCCAGAGGCATCAGACCAAGTAATTTCATACCTTGTGCAAGAATATTTCTAGCAACATGAAACAAAAGCAATCTTTGACTAGCAACGTCAGATGATTCATTTTTTACTTTCAATGTTTTGAAAGCCTTATTAATTACGTGACTGTATAAAAAAAGTAATTTATCACAATTAGATAATTATAGTAAATATTTGATATCAAATACACACTTACCTCAAATGGAAGAGATATCCCGTTAATATGCATGGTTCCATTTCTTCGTACGATTTTAATACTATCTCTTCGAATTTGGCAATTAATACGATTAATTCATCGACGACTTCTTCTCGTAAAAGGCTTGGTTCGCATTCCGAAGGTAAGACAGCGCCGCAATTGCGTTTTAAGTTAATGAGTCGACAGTGAGTATATTGCAGCTTCACGCCAGTGTCTCCTTTCAACTGACCTTACAAAAAAAATTAAACCAAATTATATATTGAATATAAAATTAAGTAATTATGCACACACTTTGATAAGAAATTTACATCAAATGCTGCATTTAAATCGAATGTGTAATCTCGTTGTCGTCTTTTCTTCAAATCGTTGATTATCATTGCAGAAATGCCTAATATATCTGAGCTATTATCTGTTGAATCTAACTGAATTTTGGTGGCTGAAAAATATTGCAAGATAATTAAATTGAACTATAGATAAGATTGGATTATAGTTTAGTCAAAGTAATATTCATATTAACTTACTACATGAATCTAATTGTTTCTGCTTCATGATATCTCTAGTAGTATTTAAGATATCTTCTAGAAATATTACATTTCCCTTTCTCGTACTCATACCATGTAATCGACCAAATCTTATATGTTTCAATCTTTCAACCCATGGCACTTTCATTCGTCTTAATATTTCCAACAAGTTCGAGAAATGTTCAGCTTGAGTATTATCCACTACATAATACATACAGTCAAAATTATTCCTTTCAAATCTATCAATAGCTGCAGCAATATCTCTAGCTATGTACAAGGTAGAACCATCGCTTTTGATTAAAGGAATAATTTTATCATTATCTAGATTCACAACTTTTCTATTTTGTTCATCTGTTACTAATAATTGCATTTTCTCCATTAATGTAATTAATCTCTCCATATTTTTGGCATTGTACATAGATTCCCAATGATACTCGTCAAATGTGATACCAATTCTACCATAAGTCCTTTTCAATTCTTCAATAGTGTACTGTTTAAATGTTTTCCATTGTTCACATGTGACTCCTATACCAGTTTCCAAATCATTAAATATTTTTCTTGCACGATCTAATATGGAGGAATCAGTTTCAGCCAACTTATTGGCAGTAATGTATGCTATATATAGCGCTTTTATAGGACTCTTTTTCATTTCATCCTCGCTAATATCTACCATATCAATTCCTAACTGAATTAAACCATATTGCGTACCCCAATCACCTAAGTAATTTATTTTCTTGACGTTATTTTCTACAAAGCTATTGATATTAGCAATATAATTTCCTATTATTGTAGATCTTAAATGTCCTAGATGAAAGGGTTTTGCAATATTAGGTGAACTAAACTCCACTATGATATTTTTCTTATTATTGACAAAAGCTGGAGCTGATACTGCAGAACAATTATGTTCCAAAATTTCTTTAATACACTTTTCTCTAGTAAAGTTAAAAGCTATTACATTGTTTTCTGTACTGATATTAAAAATACTATCTGGATCATTATCTATGATATTTTGTATGTTATTTTGTATATCATATTGTCTGGTTTTTAATGGAAGTAAAAAGGAATAGATTCCATTTGTTTTCTGTGTTGTAAAATGCAAGTAAGATGCAATATCAGATATGTTTAAACTCTTATTACTTTGTAAAGATCTTGTAATCTGAAAATACAATAGAAATATAATCGAGTATATCAAAAGAAATTCCAGTTAACTTTTGTAAAATTTTCATTTTATAATAAAAAAAAAGAAAGAATACCTTTTTTAAAACTGCAGTCCTAATACTATTACTCATGTTTGTTAATTTAATAATTTAAATAAAATGATCGATTATATATTTGCTTTTATTTTGAAATATCTTCGATAGGAAAATGACCAACCGGTATTATCATAACATAAAAAAACTGTATAATGTAATATCAAATTATTCATTCATATGGAAAATGTTGGACAAGAAAAAATCAGAAATATTTAATGTCACAAATCGATGATTGCACTTGCCAGTTTTATTAATGCAGCTATATATAATATAGCTAAATGTGTAAGAAATAAATTGATAAATAATAACACGGTCATAAGATTCTGAACTGAGATACGAAGCTCTAGATTCAGGGCTAGTAACATTGAAAAATAAATTCTCCATTAGTATACGTACAAAAAAGAAACTATCGAAAATGTACTCGTCTAAAATTTTGATCAACCAATCAGGATTAAAATATCTTGCTTTTGATTGGTCAATCAAATGCCTTACTCCGACAAGTAAATTGAACGCAATTCTAACATATAAGTGCACAAGAAATGTACAAAATGAACTAATATAAAATTAGTATTTCTTTAATATATCTTTCATTATATAGAATTAGAGAAAAATTTCATAAACAAAAGTTAAACAAAAAGAGACAGTATTCAAAATAATGATGATCAGTATTGATATCTTGTACTTATAATCACTGTATATGTGTGTCTCAATAATATATTAAAATAAAAACTTTAATTTGTTAAATTTAATTAACAAAATATTGTTATAATTAAATAATTCCTTAGCAACAAAATATAATTAATATTAATTAAAATTTTTATTAATTAATATAAGTGCCTAATAATACAATAATGTTAGATATGATAAAATTTATTAAAATTATAAAAATTGTATTAAATATTATTTAATAGTAAATTTCTTTTTATAATACAATTCTTACAGCAAATAAAAATTACTAGGCAAAGGAGATGAAGAGTTCAAGCAATAATTATTTTAAATTAAAGAACTGACATTCTTGTATATTATTTGAAATATCATTCATTCTGATAGATATCTAGATCAATTTTAAAAGATAAAAAAATTAGTTTATTGACATAAAAAAAATATAGATTACATTTCCATGTGTATATTGTTACCACATGTGTATATTACAACATAAACAATATTAATTAAAGCTATTATTTGTTTACAGTATAAATACATCTAATATAATAATAATTATTATTATACATATATATATGTATCATGAATGAAATATATATGTATCAATAATTTTATATATATATATATATTATATATAAAATATATATATATATATAAATATATATATATATATATATATATGTGTGTGTGTGTGTGTGTGTGTGTGTATGTATCATGTATGTATGTATTAATCATCTCATAATGATATATAAATATTTTATTTTTGCACTGTAGAAAAATTATAGCTACAGTCTCAAATCTATAATAACGTCAATATATAATCTTTACAAAGACATATTAAATTAATAATCTAAGGAAAGAATCGCTCTAAGAAATATAGAAAGATGATACAAAAGAAAAAAATACTGTGCAGATATAATACGCTTTACTGTCTAATCTTAAACTTCGTGATCAATTAAATACGCATCTTTCCTGAAGGAATAACGTGGTGGATTGTGGCAAGGCAACAACCAAAATATTGGATGACTCTTGCCACACACTTGGGACAAAAGCGTAAATGTTCGTGGTGTATTCTTATTATGATAACGCTGGTGTATATCTTGTACATGTTCCACAGCGGTTTCATCGCTTAGAATCGCTTGAAACTGATCCACCAGAATTGCTATGACGAACATACCAAATAATGCAGACTCCAAAACTAATATCACACAATGTAAACTGCAATACATATTAATATATAGGCTTGTCAGTTTTCATAGAAAATCGTTTGTAAATATATCGATACATACATGCGATTTTGTTTGATTGCAATATCATTATTGCATTGCGGGCAGTCATAAATCCATGATACAATAACTAAAATAATAGCATATATAGCTAATGCACCAACATATACCAGAAACTGTATAAAGTATTTTTGATTCCTTTCGCCGACACAATTATTGATCCTTAAAAATTCAATTATAAGAATTTATGTAATAAAATACATAAATCTTATTTAATACATATTGTAAATTAATATTTATAAGGATTATATAGGACTAAATTTATTAGTATTTACTAGATATATTAGCATTGCTATAAGGGTTGTATTAAAGTTACTATATATTGCATGAATCTTCATATATTATTATTATTCCATAACAAGAATTTATGGTTACCATGGACAATGATGATCCATTCTTCTGATGCAACGTTTGCAAATTCTACAGTGGTGTGCTCTAGGTGGTCTATATGTTTCGCATCTAGTACATACTGTCCAATCATCTTTTTCATCTCCCTCGTGATCATCATTACCTCCGGAAACATGAATATCAGAAAAGTCCATTCTATTTTGTGGTAAAGGTACTATTCCAGGATCACTACAGACAGCTTTCAAGTGCGCCATCATTAAAAGAAGTACAACAGTGTTGAATGCTATTACATGGAAAGGACCCCATAAGCTAAGGAAGAATAATGTTGTATTAAAAAATAATAATAATAATATAATAATATCTATATATATATACATTATAAAATGCGTAAAATGTCTAAAAATATGTTATGTCTTAAAAGTATATAAATCTAAGAAGTATAATGTTGTAATAATTTTAATTAATTCTTTTTAATTAAAAGAGAAGAATATATAGTTTATTTAGATATTTTTAGTAAAACCATTATATAATATTTTCTCTTTTTTTATATTTAAATCTTTGTTTCAATTTATAATATTAACAATTTGTATATGTAATCCTTAAGATTTTCAAGTTTATATATATATATATATATATATATTCAAATATTTTATCTATATCTATAAGCCAAATTTAAGTATGTGTTGTGTAAAATATGACATAATATTATGCGCTGAAAATATTTAAATGTTAATTTTCTCTCTCTCTCTCTCTCTCTTGCTATACGAACCTGTCTTGCATGGTATGCAACACGATCCATCGTACCACAACGTAATCGGCGTAAAACACTGCTATGTAGGTGACGATAATGCATATGATGCCACAGGGATCTTTGACGAACATTTTTCGTTTTAGCTAACGACAAATATCCCACCCGGCGCTTAATAATATCGCAGTTCCTCATCACGATATGCACAGGTCTCATGTCATCCGTTTGCTGCCAAACGACTGCATTATATTAATCGACATTAATTCAGACATCTGTCAATGTTGATCGATGTATATAATACATAATTCGTATAAAATCGTCGCGTTTGACGATTTTGATGGAAAATATGGTACAGAGATCTTGAATTTTAATAGCTTCGATTCTCCCTGGAGAGAGGGACCGATTGGAAAGCCGAGCTGTCAAACGCAACCGCTCCGACACAGCGAACAGCTGTGATAGAGACACTTGAGACTTGAGCGAGAGTCTGATTTACCATCTTTGTAACCAACCTACGTTACATCGAGATATTGTTTTGGGTCGATATTACATTTGTCGTATGACAAATTTTTTAAGCACATTGATTGGCTGCGGGATAATAATTTTTTGAGTCTTTAGAAACTTTCTATTCTGCAGCCAATCAATATGTTTAAAAAAATGTATCGTACGACAAATGTAATGTCGGTCTTACATTACAAAAAAAGGTGTAAAGTCCGCATCAGATTATCCATTAAAAAATTAAGATTGGAAAATTTGATTAATCAGATAATTCGTCGACGAATCATTATGTAATAATTGAATTACATTATTAGATTAGAATCAAGAGAATTGTAATTTATCTTTATCATTTTTATAATGTGTTGAAACCAATTAATCAAAATGAATACAAGATTGCTTTTTTATCGATTATTTGAACAATTTGCGATAGAATATTATGCAATTTGATAAAAAAATTTCAATCTTTATATCATTTGTTTTCTTTCTAAATGATGAACTTAATAATATCATATGATTTTTGTGCTATTGCGCATGCGCGAAAAAATCCCTCCGTTTGACATCACTGCCATAAGAGCAAGAAATGAGAGAGGAGAAATGATTTTGCATTGTCGGAACTCTTGCATGACTTTGCATAATTTTTATGTCACGTATTCGATCATAACAAACAATATAATAAATGAGAAAAATGGGAACCGTTAAAAAGTGGCCTAGCAAGTTAAAATGCGCGAGTCAAGCGGAGATATTGCGATCGCATCAACGGGACGACGATTTTGTGAAACACCTGAGACAGAAACTATCCGAGACACTGCAAAATTTTGGAGTACACAGAACGTTTTTCCAATGCATTCAATCCGACATTCCTCTCAAATTAGTATATTTTGTTTTCACTTCGGGGATGGGAAATCAAACATTGGGCGAGGAATACACCGGTATAGTACAAGCTAATTTGGAGGCGCGCAAAGTTCCGACATTAACTGTACGTTTCAATGAGAAAGTTTATTATGACATATGTTTTACGAGAGATTTTAATTAATTTCCAAATTTTTTTTGTATTAGGTCAGGATATTAGCAGCAATTTTGGAATGCCTCGGGGAAAGAATGTTGCTCAAATTATTAGGACAGTGTCAAATGTATGTAAATCGTCCGCATAGTCAGCTGACACCAACAGCGATAACATTTTTTAATACTTTTTTGACCAAATTACGTACTATGATACCTATAATAGTGCTATTCCACAAAGGATTATTTTATATATATGGTAGATACTATAGTTTGGGTAGAAGAATTGCAGGATTAGATCATACAAAGGTAAACTCTAAAAATATACGATATCATAATCTTATTACTGTTATTTCTATGAAATGATTTAAAGGTTCACGGTCCTCGACCAGTCGATACCGTCAGCTGGGGATTAAAGTTGTTAGGAATTGCTACTCTAATTCAATGTCTACTAAGAACTTGGCAGTATAGCATAACACAAGATTCTTCAATCACAAGTGTATCTAATACAAAATGTAATAGTCATAGTTGTCAATTATGCCTCGAAGCAACAGCAACAACTGCAACATTATGTGGTCATTTGTTTTGTTGGACTTGTCTCAGTGAATGGTTACGTGTTAAACCACAATGTCCATATTGCAGAGAACATGTACCACCATCAAGAATTATACATCTAATGAATCTATAATTTTCTGATAATTTTTTCTGTGATAGTTAATTATATTCTTTGAATACGTATATAAAATGTAAAAAGAGTTTTAATATATCTTTTTAATTATTTTAAAAATAAAAGTACTTTTAAAATGAAATAAATCTATTCAGTAAGAAGTTATTTTATTTATCTTTCTGTTTAGAAAATTTATTAAGATCTCAAAGTATTTTAGATCTTAAAATGGTGTTATGCTAAATGTTCTGTAAATTAAATTTATGCATTATTAAATATTAATAAATATTAATTTACTATATTAATTTACTAATTTTGTATAGAAAGAAAAAAAGATAAAACTCTATTAATACACTCTATATAAGACATGTACAAAAATATTGAGTTTATTCTGTTATTTGCACATATGTTGTATATAACATTTTTGAGAAAAACAATAATGTACATTTCCATGTTATATAAATTTTAGATTATAAAATTGTCAATTTAATATAAGAATTATTAATAATATAGTCAATTTTCTCTATCCTAAATTCTCTATATTAGTGTTTTTCTTTTAAGTTGATACTTTAATGGAAAATGTATCAGCACGACCATATTAGCTTAAAAAAAAACGATATAATTATATAATATATTAATAATAATGTATTTATAATATATTTATAATTATATATTAATAATATATTTATAATAATATATATATTAATAATATATTTATAATTATATCCTTATTTAAAATAACCCTATTGTTCTTGAAGTGACTTTGAATCAATTCTAAGATGATTTTTCCTTTGGCAAAATTTCATCCAAAGCTTAGTTTTTGAATTATTAAAGGAAGTAGTTAACTTATAACAGGTTTTTTCATTCTCACTCTCTCTCTCTTTGCTCACTCACTTGTAGTCATTATTACTTGTAATCATTACTGTTACTTTAATTATTATTTACACTTTTAATTATTAAAAAAAAAACTACAATTTAAAAAAATATTAAAGCAAAATTTTAAATAATAAAAAGTAAATAATTATTAAAGTAAGAGTAATAATGACTACAAGCACCCGCATCTGACGGTGAATCGCTCCCTTGCCTGTCTCTTGTATCCAACCCGTCATAAGTTAACTACTTCCTTTAATGATTCAAAAACTAAACTTCGGACGAAATTTTGCTAAAGGAAAAATCATCCTAGATATATATAATGAATATAATATATATTTTCTCATTTTTTATATTTTCTCTCATTAAAATAAGCAAAGATTGAAGGAAAATACTTCAAAATACTCGGATTTCTTTGATGTAATTTTAGAATAAAGAAAATCGACTATAAATTCATATTTTTAGAAAGCATTAATAACAATATTTTAGTCTAATTATGAGATGTGCGTGGAATCGAAGTCATTCCAACAATATTTCCAAGATATTGACTAATTCCACTTGCCTCGTCCTTTAATCGAAATCCATGAGGTCCGTAGGCTTTACAAAATATATTTCTAAGACAACGTAATCGCTCTTTACGTCTAAAATAAATCATTTTAAAATATAATACATCACATATTTAAAAAAAAATTAAATTAACACTCGAAAAACTTATACTGAAGACTCACTGTATGGATGATACATAGGCAGTAACTTCGTCATCATTTGTGTTTACATTTCCTTGTAATGTACGTGGAGTTGTGCAAGCTGCACATGAAGGCTTACAATCTGAACCAGGAATTAATACATTGTCCATACAAGCAGCATTAGTAGAACCACACAGGCTACCTGTCCCTGTTACCAGTTGCCACGAGTCGCCTGAAGATGTTGAATCATTTCGTTGTCGTATCCGTCGAGTATTATGCGATATAGGAACTCCAATCGGAGATGTACGATTTGTGGACAAAGATAAACGCGAGAATCCTTGAGCGATACCATCTTCTTTATTTGGAGACACATTAAGTATCCCAGGTGCAATGGTCCTATAATAAATGTAGATATATATATATAAGTTTCATCAGAATATTAGATGATATTTATAACAAATATAATATTTCAATATAATATAATATTTAATACAATATAATATTATATAATATTTTAACATTTGGCAATAATGCCCAAAAAAAATAATTAAAATAATTACACATTATTTCGAGAATCATCTTGACTATCCAAATTATCGAAAAATACAGTTGTTGCTTCACCATCTTCACTGTTTTGTTCAATAGAACTAGATGAACTGAAATTAGGAGTTGAAATAAGTTCAAACGATTCACCATTTATCGTGAAAGTTTCTGGTTGCGAGTCGCTAAGTTTCGGCATTCTCTCGTAACGTTTATGTATACTGAAGTGTTCAGTTTCAATATATTTTAAGAAATCAAAGCAAAAAAAGAATATTTCTTCTCCTTTATCTAGTCGATCTGCTAAATTGTGTCCAAAAAGCAACCAATCATAGGCGATAGTATAATAAAGTAATTGATACGAATTTAATGTCTTATGAATTACACCATCGGCCCATAGACTAATTCTCAATAATGAAATAAATAACGGTGTACGATCCCAACCTGTAAATAAAATATTAATTTCATTAGAAAGTATTTTTTTTATAAATTTTAATAGAAAAATATATATAAAATATATTGAATATTTTATGTCTGTACCTGAGATGCAGTGAATTAATATTCCATTATTACTATCGCTCAAATATCTTAATATTAATCTTAAATAATTTTGTGTTAATTTGACTAGATCCCATTCTGTATATCTATCCCAGTTAATTCGTAACTGACTGGAGAAAAAGTCATCAGGTACATAGATTGTCGCGTCCACGTAATTCTGATACCAGTCAAATACCAAGCCCTTTGATCGATAATCTTGATCTCTAAACTCCTTGAAGAATTCACATCCAGGATATGGCAGTGAAATAAGGTTAAACTCGTCGTATCTTCTCTCCTGGTCTACCTTCTCCGATGAAGTTATGCTGAGTATCGAACAAAAGAGCTCTGTTTAAGGGCCTCTAAAAGTGGATTCATAGAATAAAACAGACTGCTCAGGCTAACAACTATTATTATGGAACTTTACTGTGTTTGCAAAGATGATAATCTTCTTTATTGGAATAGTTATTGTCTAATGTGTATACAATTCCCTCCTCAAAAATAATGTTTTATCCTAAACATATTATTACAAAGTATAATCTTTATTTACATCATCTTTTAATTATTTATTGAAATAGTCTTAATTTTGAGCCGTCTTTTTTTTCTTCTATACACTTTTAGTATAATATTATAAAATTTATATTTCTTTCAAATTAATAGTTATATTACTAATTTTTTGCATTTATCAAAGAAACATATAATTAGATAATTTCAGTTTTTCTTTTCCTTTCAAACATTTGTTTGGAAATTACAAAGACTTTTAGAATTATTCTATAAAAACAAAAAACAATATTAATAGCATCCTTACGCCACTCCATATTTGACCTTCTTCTTTTCAACCATGAAATCAATGATGGTTCCTACATTAAGAGTCTTCAGGAGTTCTATATCATAAGACCGAAATTTATTTTTCATGTCAATAAGCCTCGATTCTTCCATGACTTCTTCTGCAACTTGTGTTAAGCTTTCGTCTTCCAATGGAATTGGCGATGTAGAACTGATACTATTGCCAGTTAAATTGGATAAGAAAGCTAAACCAGCCCTACCAATCATTTCTGGGCTACTGGCTAATGTTGCAGATCTGCATACGTGCCTACCCTTATAAAGTATCACTGGTATTGGAAATCTTGAACGACATCTTGCAAATCTTGACTTTCTCATCAATCTCTTGAGATTATTCTTTAACTGTATAAATTCAGGTATTTCTCGTACTTGTGGCGCTGGCAGTGATGAATCACATTTTTTTGAACTTCGAATTTTATCATGCTCCAATATTATAAGATATCCAGGATAATGTCCACAGAGATTGCCTTCGCTGTTATCAATTATGTAATATTCATAATCAAAAGATGCAAGCAACATACATCTTTGCATAATTTCTTGAGTCTGTAAAAATATATATCATTAATTTTACAAAAAGTTTAATAGCATTGGAATGTACAATTGTAGAATATATTTATAGAACAATTACTCTAACATCTGTAGCCTTGGTCTTATAGGTGTTTTTTGCAAAATATGTAATAAGGTTTTCTAAAGTATCTATATTAATATCAGTCATGATTTTTCGCAGTTAACTGCGTTCTCCAACTTGCTGTAGAAATGTTGTTTGAGAAATCTTCTCAAGGAGGCACTAACTTCTTGCAACTGTTACAATCAAACTCACAAAGAATTAGTTATCCATTAACCAGTATCTTACATGGCAGAGACATGACACAAACACTAAATTTAAGGTATACACACATTGTGAATACAGAATTTGTATACATGACATTGCAAATTGACATACATTAAATTCTTCTTGCCACAATACATCTTCAAATGTTGATGACACAATCTTCTAATATATATGTATATCAATGAAATATTATTTTAGTAAATATATTAATAATTTTGTTTGCATATATTTTATCGTTACATTAAATTTTTTTTGAAAATGTTTTCTATTAGACATATATATGACTTTACATTTATGATTTATTATAAATTATTCAACAATTATGTAACCATTAACATAAACAATGCAATCTTTCAAAATAATATGTATGTGTGTGTGAGATTTGTTATTCAACTAGCGAAAGAGATTTCAAATATTTTATAAATCCTCTTATTAATTCTCCTTCATTAATTCTCTTTAATTTAATGCAACGAAAAAATGCATGAAAAATTGGATAATCGAAATTTTCTCTTTAGAACGTACGTCGAGTCTGCGAATTTTGTAATGATATTCTTTATTAATCGTGAGAAATCGAAAGAACAATAACAAGAAATAATAAATTATTCACGCGAATAAAGACAAATGTATATAACCTGTATATAACCTGTCGATGCACTGTCGCATGTCATACAAAAGCATGCATCACATTAAGTCTCTTTGCACATAACGTAAAGACGAACACTATAGTACGCTGGTGGGATTATTATACAACCTTGTGTCTTTGTAAAAACGGCGAAACGTATTTTTAGAATTTTGCGTTCTCAGAGATTCGATGCGTATTTTCTTTTTCCCCTCCCCCGAGAATACTCGAAATTGTTTAATTAAAATTATACCCGTGAAAAAGGATGCTAGCGATATTTCCGCAATTTTGTCGAGAAGAATAAAACGAATATCTTTGTTCGCAATTCGATACGTTTGAATTTTTCTTCGTGTGTTTATTACAGACAATATTCATTAACACATACGCGTCCTTTAACATCTCGCGATCACGTTTCCATACCGCAATGAAAGCGTAAGGTTACCGTCGGCCTTTGGGAGGCACACGCCTTTTCCCCTCCTCCTTTCCCAACCATCCATCACTTTCATGGTCATCGCGATAACATTAATGTTTGTCGCATACGTGGATTTCAGTAGATCTACGTTCGACGATCGTTATTACGAAATAAATGTAAACATCGCGTTCGAAGAAGAGCAAGTGATTTTCCGTCAAACTGTTATCGGCTAATATCGATAATATCGATAATCGACAAACGAAGTCCAGAAAGCACGCGGGTACCGGGGCGGAGCTCGCGATGGCGCCACGCGTCCAGCTGATCGACGGCGCGCGCATGCGCGTCACGCCTGACGCGACGGACCGGCGGAATCGAACTGACGTTGGGAAACGCGGATCCGCGGCCGCGGCTCGTCTCGCAATATGGCGAACGTACAATGAGGGGCTGTCGCGTCGTGCGTGCCTCGTCGGCGCTGTCTCGCGGGTTACAGTGACGTGATCGCGTATACGTACGATCGTTGTCGTAATGTTGTCTCGTAACTCGTTGCGGCGCGTCGTAAATCGACGACGCGCGCCTCTCGCGTGAAACTACGCGGGGGTCGAGAGGACGACGTTTCCCGGACGTGGGGTGGAAACTCACGAGCGTAACGTTTTCGCATCACATACGACGGGAGTGCGAGGGACACGCGCGCGCGCGCGCGGCCGCGGTCGGTGAAAGTAAACAAATAGTTATGAGCGCAATCCTCGACAACGAGGCGGCGGCGCCGCCGCCGGGCGCTCTCCTGGACTCGGACGTCGAGGGCATCCTCGAGGAGAAGAATCAGCTCATCAGCCGCCAGTACGCCGAAATTGAAAGGCTGCAGCGCGAGCTCGCCGAGGTCGTCGGCGAACGGGACGCCCTGCTCTGCGAGGTGTCAAAATTCAAGTTCGAGCGCGAGATGACTGACCTCAAGCGTCTGCACGATGACAGGTACGTGCGTCTGCTTCGTTCCTTCTTTCCTCGAGCCTTTGTTTTGAAAGGGAGAAGATTTTGATGATGGGATTGAAATCTCTCCACTCGGATGTACGGATCTTTTTTTCTTCTCCATATATCTTGGGACAATTTTTCTCCCCGCTCTTTTTTTCTCTTCCTTCACAACGCGTCTGTAGTTTTTTCTTCTTATTCCGAATGTATGTGACACGATTTCGCGGCTGCGAGAAGAAAAATAGATTCGATCGCGGGGAAATTAATTTATCAGCGAAAGTGGCCATATTTTTTCTTCACGTTCACGATTACGTTAATCCTCGATCGCATTTCACGCACATCTACGCCTTTTATACTCGAACAATATAAATGTAGCGCAGCTTTTTAGTCAGATAGAGAAAAAAAGTACGGTTCTGGAAGCTAACAAAAGATACTTATCCTCATCTAGTCATCTTCTTTTAAACTTTGTTACTTAAAATGAGATAAAAAAGAAAATCAAAATGTGAAAAAAATAGATAAGTTTATAGAAATTCACATCTGTTTTTGTTTAAACGAAAATTATAGCATAGCGTTTCGTCCTTTTAGTTCGCGCTTTTCGAGCATAAGAAGGAGATGCAAGACAGACATAAAAGGGCGGATCCACACGCATCCTTTTCCCGCGCGTTTTTGCTCCGAATATAATTTTTCTCCGATTTATCCGCGATTTGCTCTCGTATTTGTCGCCTTTCATTTGTTGTTTATTTCTCAATCTTCACTGTAGATCCACCCTAGTTAGGCTGTCTAACGTGAATTGTATTAGGAGGGTGGTTCATCCTTCCGGGAGTCGCGAAATATGTCACGTTGCTCTCCTCCATCCCCCTCCCCCTTCTCAGAAAAAGCCATCAAATATCAATCACGGCGAGATTGATATTGCAACAGCGATCGCGTTTTCATACAAATTCTCTGACAGTTATATCATGATGCGAGTGAGTTGACGTGATATCCGTGAACCGAAGGACGCAATTCGCGTACGCAACGAAACGCGATATGTGCCTCGTTAGATTGACTTTCTATTCGGCAATGCGTTGTTTCTGGCCATCAATCGAATTTTGATCGATGTTATTGAACCACATGCATCGTAAGCCACCACAGTATAGGCAATTTTTTTCGACGATGCAAAACTACAGATCGATCCAAATATAGGATCAAATAAGTCGAAAATATTTCTTTTAATATATTCCTAGCAATTTTAGGGCTTTCTCGCATTTCTTTCGATTATAAAAGTTTCAGCTTTAATTCAATTTCTGTTTCTGCCAAATAAAGGATTAACACTTGTTCATTTGCTTTAATTGTGAGATTATATTAATGCGTTCAATATCGCATTATTTCTCTTAATAGCTAATTCCGCGATGATTCTTTATCGGAAATGTCGAGGAAGGTTATCATCATACGAATTTTTAACATTGCGTATCTCTAGATAAATTTTCAATTACAGTGTTATCGTCATGTTTATTCGACAGTTTAATCGAAGTATGTAATTTTATCATTTTTATCAGGTGTCTAGTTTATTTTTCTATTTTCAATTATTAATTACTCAAAAATATTCCGTTGGAGAAAAATTTATTTCAACACACATGCCAAGGATATTATAAAAAAAAAGTTAAACGTGCCTGATAATTTTGAAAGACGCATTCGTTTATTGTTTTATATGAAGAATATTATACGAGAATCGTCATGTCGACGAGTAGTCGCGATGATTAGTTGTCCCGTTAAGCTTAGTCGCGTGTTTTATTTCATATGTCGTTTGTATATATTGACGTATCCCTGGTGGATGTTTAATGTGCTGTCGTGTACGACACCGTGTCGATAATGCGTGTTATTAAAGCGAATGTGAAACAGACGACGCGTACGTCACTATCAATGTTGCAAGCGCGTACAACAGACAAATTGATAATCTATGACAGACGGGGGAGGAGAGGAGGAGGCAGAGAGAGAGGATACCTTGCGTTGTGTTCGTGTCATCGAATTGCAGATAGAGACTGCGCTAACAGCCTAGTCGATAATGCGATACGCGTTTATCCAATGTGGATGCGAAATATCGCGGAATATATTATAATTTAGCTTCGCACAGAGTTTATCTCGTTTCCTCCTCGCATATTGTGTAATCAGATGCAACGCTAAAAAACGAAAATTTGATGTACACACGATTGAACAGTCGATTGAACGAGACATTAAATTGAGGTAATAAACTGTCGATTAAACGTTTTAAATTAATTTGCAACGGCTCGTTTCTCACTTTTAATTTTCGATTGTTAGAAAAAAGAAATTTAAAATGTATCGTCAGAAATCATCTGGCATAAATAATCACAAATATCGCGAATTAATAGAGGAATTATTATGCTATCTTTCCAATATGTATTGTAAAATTAAAAATAACAATTTTTTTTCTTCAACAAAGTTTTACGAATATATTTCCTCTGCTCTGTAGATGTCATGGTTAATTTAAACGCGCATTAGGAGGTATTATATCTTAATAAGGATAATTCGAATGCGTATGGGTCGCGCTCATAAGCGTTGTGTATTCCCCTAATGCATTGTCGTGAGAGTATATAGGGAGTAGACACAACGTGGTAAAGTAATCACACACGTATCGTCCATCTGGAAGAGAGTAAGCGCCCGATGTGTAAGACGTTCCCACAAGATAGACTCTAGGAAGAATATAACTGTGATACGTGTCGTTAGCATATTTGCTGTAATAATAATTAACAATTACATTGGATGCTTTGTAATTCTTTGTTGCTTTTCTACCATCATCAATCTTTGCCGTGACAGTTCCCGGATACATAATTTTTCCCTTTATATATTTTTCCTGGTTTGATATCGTCGACAAAAATTCTTTTTTTTTTTTTTTTTTTTTTTTTTTAATTTTTTCCACGCGCTAGAAAAATGTACGCGTATAATTCGCAGCACACACATTTCGTGTGTATATATTTATATAGTATATTTATATAATATTTAAAAAACATTTTGTAAAAACATTTTTAAAAATGCATTTGATATTATTTCCATATTCTTTAATATTATATAATATAATTATTATATAATATTTATAATATATTTAAAAATATATGCAAAATTCTTTTTAATTATATATATATACTTACTGCATAATATATTTGCAAGTATTATATAAATATTATATTTAAAAGAGCATTAAATATAATATTTATAATATTTATAATATGCATTTGAAAAAAATTATATATATATTCTTTTTTACTACTGTTACGATACATGTTTTCTCAGCTGACGAATCAGCTTGTACGGATTTTAAAAAGGGAAAATCAGACATCATAAATATAAATGCTTAGTAATCGCGACGGTAAAAAAAGGATCTTTGGGACTGTCCGAAGCAGTGACCTTGAAGCATCCTATTGACCTGCTAGATCTGTTCCCTTTGAATCCGTCCAACTTTTTACGCTCGTGATTTAATACATCTGGGTTGCAGAGAACCGGTCCTTCCTGCCCCCAAACTTCGAAAACTTTTCATGTGTGCGTGAGAGCTCTTTATCTCGCTCTCCCAATTGTATGTATCGTATATCGCGAGACGTACGCGAAACTACTGCTACTCGCAAAATGCTAATCGAGCAAACACGTGTGTGACGCAAATGACGCGCTTGATTTATTCCTGGATTGTGTCGGCGCTTTTCGGGCCACCTGAGAGGAGCGAGAGATTATTTCTTTTTTTTTCTTTCTTTTTTTTTCGTAAAAAGCGCAGCTTTTTGTCGCACGGTATTTTTACCGTAAAAAGGAATTGCGAATGTTCGATTGCAACATTATTGCGAGGTCGACCGGTCATGCCAAATATAACTCGTACATAATTGCGGTTGCCCTCGTATATACGATTTGAAGGTTGGGCGATATTTGACACAGATTTGCGCGCTTTCGCGAATGCATCCGGTATACCTATTGTTTCCAGCAATTTATTGCGCTTGACGAAAGTATCATACGAATTTTAAACCTTTATTTTTGCGTTCTCAACAAAATTTCTCTCACTCTTTTCTCCATGTTTTTCGATAATTGATATCTTTTTTGATAATTTCTAACACATCTCATTGTATTTCTTAGCGTCTCGTTTTTAATTTTATCAGCTGCGTAAACAGTTTTTCTTGAGCAATTCTTCCTTTTTGACGTCAATTCTCTTATCAAAATTAAAATTCATCGAGGTTAAAACATCAAAAAACGGTGTTTTGTAAATTTGCTACATTCGCGAAAAAAAATA